GCAGGATTATTAATGTATTTAATGATGGTCGGGGTGGTGGTGACGACTACTGCTCGTTCGTTTTTGGCCTTTATTTTCTTTTTATCAAAGGCCTTGAGGCAGTAAAAGAAGAAGAAAAAGACTTCTTCCTTTTTCATATCAGAGCGCACGTTCGCACCTGAAACCGCAGGCGTGGGGGGGGGGCTTCCTGTCCTCCTCGCCTGTCCGGCCGCGCGTTGTCCAGTTCTGGAGAATGAAGAACCCAAACGCACAGGGGTGGGGAAAAGCCCGGGTCCCGTCAGCTGGTTGTACCTAACCTAACACCTTTCTGTCTTTTCACAATGACACAGTCGTTTTCCTTTTCAGTTTTTAATACGTCAGAATTTTTCTTTAAAAAAAAAAAAAAAAAAAGTTGATCATCGTATTAAGGTGCTGGGTATTGGATTCTAATTATTCTTCTGGCTGTTGCTGTTATATTATCTCTTTCAGGGTTGATTTTATTTTTCATTATTTTTGTTTTACATTGCTGTAATTTACATTGATTTTAAATGTGTTTTGAGCAAACTGTAACTGTAGTGGTGGGTTTTGGGGTTTGGGAGGGGTGATCAGCTCCTTAAAAATGTTTTTTTTTTCTTTCTTTTTGTGCAAAGAAAAAATGATGAAAAATTACAATGATAGTAATAAAAACAATGATATAATGATAGCCCGACTCTGAAAGCCGTATGTTTAAAGACACCGTGAATCAAAGCTCTCCGTCAGCAGGCGGAGGGGGCTCTGTTGTCGTCAGGGAAACGGCGTTTTTCACCTTCCAGGTTGAAGATCATCTTGAGGCGTCTTCTCTGGCTCCTCTGTTTAGTTTGTGGTGGCGGGTGATCCTCATGGAAGCGAGATCTCAAGAGTATATAAGGATGGAAAGGACTTCCTGCTGTTCGTGGACAGACGATGCTGCTTTACTGTGTCGGTTTGTGGGGGTTCTTCAGCTGTTGAACACAAACTGGAAGCTAGAAGCTGCTTTTCTAGTTAAATGATATTCGGCGGTGAGCCCTGGGTAGTTTTTTTATTAAAGTATCTTATGTAATCTACTTGCAGGCTTCTTTTTTAGCCTTACGGTGTGTTTTTAGTGTCTACTCGGGGCTGTAGACGTGGACGAGATGCAGCCGAGCAGCTGGTGACTTTGAGTTGTTGAGTTGTTTTAGTTCTCATCCTCTTAAAGCCCACCAGCCTGTTCCAGATCAACCCAGCAGTTAAAGTAGACTCATATTGCACTTCACTGGTCCTGTACACTCAGGCCCTGAGCGGAGGGCCTGGCTCCCCCTGGTGGCGGCAGAGGGAGTCTGCATCAACAGGTGACAGAAACACAGGCGTGGGGCCTTTAGTGGTCCAGTTCTCCGTAGGCCGCCATCAAACCCGGCCAATGGACAGTCTCCTGTGTGGACATGCTACTTCATTAAAAAAAAAAAATAAAAACATCAGTCATTTTCTTTATTCTAGAAATGTTTAATTTTTTAACACAAAGTTTAGTTTCCATAGTGTGAACAACTTCTCGCACACATTAAACACAGTTTTTTTGGATAAAGAAACACATGGCCATAACCGGTCAAAGGTAATTCACCCCCTTCCATTCAAAGCAGGCTCAAACTGAGAGCTGGGGGCCTCCGACAGTGTGCAGAAAACCTCCTGTAAGGCAGTGATGCAGCTCAGCCACTGTCCTGAACTAAAGCGGTGCGATACTGAAAGAAACCGGGCGCTCCCGTTGTTCTTGAGCCATCGGGAAGCATCCGGGGACGCAGGTCCCGGGAACCAAAGAGGTACCGCTTAAACAAGGTGTGGTTCCCTCCCTTATTTGGGAGGCTTCTCCAGAGCTGCGATGCGAGCAGACCGACGAGTTAAACACTGTGCTTTTTCAGCTCTCTGAGACTTTTCTCCAGTGGACACTAAAGCGTGGGAGGGCAGGGAAGGCTTGTTCTGGCACAGAAGCGTGTTTTCAGTGCTAAGTGCTGAAATGACTTCTGAAGTGAAAAGCTGCAAGAGTCGAGCTCGGTCCCAACTCGTATCGCGCTCCCTTCTCTCCGTAGTGCTCAGTCAACCATAATTAAGTATTCACAATCTAAACTACGAACATCCACTAACTACCGCTGGCTCAACTAGTCAACAAAAAGTTCACAACCCCAGTTAACACTAGTTATACATGGCTAGAAGAGTCCATCTCGTCCTTTCAACCTTTTTTTCGCCCAACTGGAAATCAACAAACTCGGGCATCAAAAACCAGAACAACAAACTCAGCAGGACTACAGAATCCGGTTTCTCTCCAAATGTACCTTTTGGTCCTCTTTGAGGGTCGAAGTATTAAAGCAAAGTTCAGGAGGAAAAGTGTGAATTTATTTTCACACGACCCGTAAAGTTTATTTTCGCTGAAATTTGTTTATATAACTTAATTCCAGTGGAATATACAGTATGTGTGTGTATATATATATATATATGTGTCTGTTTGACCACATTCCTCCATTGTCCAGATGTACAGCTGTTACCATGGAGACAAGCAGGTGGGCTTCTATTTGTGGTCGTGGCTTCATCAGCTCAGGGATGCAGGGTCTGACTTTGATTTGCTGAGTGATGTGTGTGTGTGTGTGTGTACGCTTAAGCTGTTGGTGCCGTGTGTACTAGAGAACTAATCTGGAGGTAGGTGTGTTTAAGTAGAATATAGGGGCCTCTGATCACTAGAGGGTGATTTTCAGTAATGATGTCACCCCCGGTGCCTGAGTGACCAGATGATGACGTGATGGGGAATATTCCAGAAGTGAGGGCGTTACAGAGAGCATTGTGTGCGGATGTGGGCCAATTAGTGGGTTTGATTCCTCCGAGTACATCAGTGTGAATTTGGCTGCTCCACTTTGAGCCCGACCAGCGATGGAGGCATCTGGGCCGCGGCCAGGGAAGAGCTGGGGGGGGAGCCCCGAAGGCTGGAGGAGGAGGTGGCTGCGGGCCGGATGAGCGGTGGGGGAGGGTGGTTGTGAGGCGCTCTGTTCTGGAGCGGCCGTGTCTGAAGAGGAGGTGGCTGGCGGAGGAGGCTCGGGGGTGCTGAGGGAGGAGCCGGGCGCAGCAGCGGAGGGGGCTGCGAGAGGGAGGAGGGGTTCTTAGTGGAGGAGGGAGGAGAGGAGCTGCCAGTGGTGTCCTGGGAGGAGTCCTCCATTTTGACCTGAGGAGAGGGAGGAGGCGCACACAGCTTAAAGAGCTGTCACCAAACGCTCACATGGACACATTTACCAATGTTTCATTTTGTGGCCATTTTATTCTAGAAGCCCCGATTCACACGTCTTTTGGCCTCACCTCCTCTTCCGCTGCGACTCCGTCTGCAGGGGCTGTCATGTCCTCGCTGCTCCTCCGGGGGTCTCTCTGGTCTCGGCTGGTTGCCACCTGCTCGGCCGCCCACTCCCTCAGAACCTCATCCAGGTTGAAGCGCCGCCGGTAGCTACCGAAGAACGAGCTCACCTGGACAGGAAGTCGGGGTTAGAGAGGCAAAGACTAACGGCAGACAGCTGTGATATGAATGAATGATGAGGAGTCCAGTGATTCTATAGAATGGATGACATGCAGCAGGATGATTTGGGAGAACTGCTGGGTGGACGTCAAAGTAAAAGAGTATTCTTCAGAAATATGAATATTTCAGGAAGAGGAGGCTCACCTGAGCTGGGGTTTTGGTGCCTATCACTTCAGCAATGGCTGTGAAGTCTTTGCCGTATCGACGGATGGCTAAAAAGGAAATAGCAGGTTTATGTTGAGCGTTGCTCATCAGTTTACTGCTGCACAACAACCAGCCTTCTGTTTGCTAACCTAAATCTGAGTTTAGACTTCTGCTGTTTGAACAGCTGCAGTAAATGAGGGCACATGCTTTGCTCAAAGGCAGCTGCTGGGGGAAGCTGACTTTCTAGAACTGTCAGTTCAGGTTTGATCGGTGGAGCTTTAAATGTCTCACCTAGACGTTGGTCTGATAGAGAGTACTTCCTGTGTGGGGGTGCAGGTGTTATCTGGCTGTAAGGGCTGAGATGTGGAACCTCAGGGTGACTTTCAGATTTGACTCACCTTGAACAACGAGCAGCTGCTCCTCTGAAGTCCAACGAGAGTTCATCTTAGGGGCAGACTGGGAGAGACGAGGAGACATTTAAGTGTGAGTGAGGGAGGCGTGATAGGAAGCATAAAGGCAGTGGGCAGATTTCCATTAATCTCCCTCCTGCTAAATGTGAACTAAAGTTTAAGAGTTCAGGCCTGCAAGTGAAGAACGGAATGGTCACAGGAACTCACTGGAGCACAGTGCAGAGGAAGGACAGAATGAATGAACTGATTATAGCAGATATGGGAAAGAATAAAAAAAAGTTACCTCAGTGGGTCTAAATACATCCAGACCATCATTCAGGTTTAGTTTCAAACTGCTGCTGTTCTGCTTAATAGACTGAACCTGAGACAAAAGACAAAGACACAGAGGATACGGCTCTGCTGATTTCATGATGCTTTGAAATGGAAAAAGAGAAAATCTTTTGTGTTCGATGTCTGTAATTCCCTTCAACTGTTCCTCCTACATGTAGTTTACAAGAGAAGTGTAATGCTGCAGAATAGCAGTTTTCTGTGGTAAAGAAAAAATGCTTTAAAAAAAATCAAGAGTTCCCTATAAATTTCAGCACATTAATTAAAAAGGGTTTCCTTGAGAAATCAAGTCTGTTTCTGTTCATGAAAAACACTTTTACAAACTGGATTCCCAGAAAGACAACCATGTCCTGTTTGTGTTTCCTGACAAGCCTCTGGACCCACAGCGGTTCAGATGATCAGATCTGCTGGGTTTTGACTTTGTTTTGGCTTTATATCTCAGGAATGGGGGATTAAGGGCCAGGTAAACACACACCTGTCTCTTGAGTGAAACCAGCTGTGCGTCCAGCTGACGGACAGTTACAACTCCGGCATCGTGGGAGGCAGACAGAGAGGTGATGTCTCCCTGGTCCAGGTGCATGCCTTTGGGGGGCCTGCGGCGCGCTCTGAGCGGGTGGTGCCTGTACTGAGCACCAATGCTCTCCTTCTTGACGGGCCCTGAGCGAGTGGCTTTGTCCGGGACTTTGTCTGAGATGGTGCTGCTGGGGTTCTGTTTCACTGCCTATTGTGACACCAGAACCAAAGAGTTAGAAATCTCCTTCTGTTACCACTGAAATAATTCTAAAGACATCACTACAACCAAGATCTGAAAAGCTACGATGTCTGCTGCTCACCTCTTTCTTTGCATCATGGTCAAAGTCACTATCGCTGCCTGGCTCTCCTTCCTCTACATCATCGTTACTGCAGCAGGAAAGAAAATCATTCATTTATTAAACAACAGTCACCTGTTTTAAGCTCCATATTAAAAACCTTTAATATATCTAAAACTGGCATGGAACTATCCATATCTAAATCTATGCTAGACTCCAGAGATTTGGGGTCCATGTGAGTATTATAAATGTCAGATCAGCTATTTCTAGAGAACTTCTGTTCTTTCTTCCCTCCCTTCACCGTTTGTGCCACATTTCAGAAAATAGAGAATGTTTTGGGGTCTTTCCAACCTATCATCCTTCTCCCTCTTGTTGATTAGCCTTCTGGCCTGCCGGTCCATGACGGAGGTCCTGGTTCTGGTCTTCTTCCAGCTGTAGTAGTACTTCACAAGGCTGGAGATTAACTTGTCTGGAAGCTGTATGTGATAAATAATTACAAGAGCAACTTTAGAGCTGATTTAAAAAATGTGTCTGTGGTAAAGCTGCTGTTAAAGAAGTGTGTTTTCTCGCACCATCTGCTGGATACGATGGAAACTTTTTCCATGGAAGCTGAACGCTTGCTCGAACAGCACTTTGTCCTCCACTGTCCACTCATCTGGGAAAGGGGTGAAGTTGGCCAGGTCTGCTAGTGACCGCTCCACGTCATGTTTGTGCCATAACAACATGCCCAGAGCCTGGAGGAAAGGAGGGCAAAAATCACTGGGTCAAACCACACATGCTTTTCTTTGGCTTTGTTAGCGGGACAGATATGCTGCCTTTCATACCTGCTCCATGTTGTACCCATGCTTTTCTTTAGCCATTAGGATGTATTCGTCCACTGGAATGAAAAAACAGCAATTCAAGATTTTTTCTTTAAATGAAAAAATGAATTACTGAAAATGAAAGGATGAAGGAAATGTAATAGTGTTTAATTTGTAAGAAATTCTGAAAGAGAATGAAGTCATGAAAGAACACGATGGGTCAAAAACAGGGAAAAGAATTGACTGCTTCTCCTTCTGTTACCATGAAACTGCAGGTCAGGCTATAGAGTGTGTGTGTGTGCGTGTGTGTGTGTAAAGCTTACACACTGCATCAGAGAGCTGAGTGTTGGGACACCAGACCAGCATGCTCCTCTGGTCCTTCTCATTGTAGCGGGAAGGACTATCTAGTAATGAAAACAGAAAGGAGAGATTTGACTATTTTTAAGCACAAAGTTTTGAGGTCCAAATAAGCGAGCCAATAAATATGTTATCTAGATCTGATTGATCCTTAACTCCAGCTCATGATCTCCATGTCTCTCTTCCCAGCCGGCTCTGCCTTAGAACTCCTAATTTATCTCTGGAGATTACTTGTCGAGCATATTTTTTATGCTTTCTCCATGTTTACTTCCTTCTAGAATCTGTATTTTGTTCCTCTTCAATGACAGTGAAATAAAGAGCAGGCTTTAAAGGAAGCTCCTTTGGGGATTCTGCATGTGGCAGCTTACTGAAACTGATGAATGTTTGCAGATTTGTCCTCTCCTCTGCTGCAGTCGAACTACTGCGGGCTAAAGTCGTCTGGTCTCTATGGATATTATGGTGCAGGTTTTCCAGTTATGCATCTGCTCAGCAAAAGTAGGCTCTTCTCTCACTACACTTTAATCTTAATTAATCACAAGATTACGTTTAAAATAAAATGAGTTATTACATGGAGTTGAATACCTTTCGGACCTGGTCACTGACATTAGGGGCCGTTCACACACACGTATATTCTGATGTGTGGTGTAATAGTTTTGTGTTTGGCACAAACAGTTGGAACAGTATTATGTAACCATGACAATTGGCGCAGCTGAAAGTTTGATGCTATGTGCCCAGGACTAGTTTCACTAACTCATTGAGCAATCACATGTGAAATTGGCCGCCCCCTCCTGAAAAATGGTCAGCAGAACAGGAATGGCTACAGTCAGGGTGACTTTCAAGATGAAATGTCATCACTCATACATCAGCTTTGGTCCTTTATAAGTTGAAGATCTTTGAATATTGCCCAATGCTTTTTTGTGCGGGTACTTTAAACTTTTTACAACCAACAAGCTGCAGCCTGTACTAAGACTTAACTGTGTACTGACACAATGTTCTGAGGAGCCAATTTGTTTGGGTAGAAATGACTTGATAGACCACAGAGGCACCTCACTGCAAAGCAGAGGTGATTTTTACACACTTAAATTTTTCATCCAAAACCGATATTGGTTTATTCAGAGCATCTTTGTCTAGCTTTGATCCAGCTTTCCTTGACTTCTTCTGGAATTTAAATGTAACATTAGTGGATAGGGGCTTTACTTGTGTCTATTTTCCTTCTTTCTCCAACTAATCCCCATTTGTTTCAACTGCTACCTGCTTCTCAGCCCTGATGTTTTTCTCCTTTTCTGTTGCCAAGCTTTAGGCCTTACTGTCATGTTCTTTCCTGCTGTTCCCTGCTCTCTCTTGGCTTACCTGGTTTGAACTCAGGGATCTGGGCCTGGTAGTCTCCTCCCACTCTGATCATGCTGTCTGTGGGGAAGGACAAGGTTCAAATGATATAGTAAAAATAAAGGACAATAGGAATAAGGTATTCCCATGGACAGCTCCATGTAAATCTGCAAATGAGATTTTGATAATTGGAATTTTGAAACCTTAATGATCACTATTATATGCAAAGTAAAAACAAAAAAAACTTAGTCAAACAAGAAAAACATTCAAATCCAGTGATGAACCATTGAAAAGCGTTTTCCCCCTAATAACATTTTTCATCCCTACCACTCATATCTAATTAAGAGAGACCTACATAGATGGAGGAAAATAGGGAGGAAAGAACAATAGTGGATGTCAGACATTAAGTAATTAGTGCTATACTAAAGCTCACAGGAGATGGAGGACATGTGGAAAGTGAAGAGTGAAAGTAGATTGGGAAAGGCAGACCAGAAGGAGGAAGACACAGATTACAGCTTCTTCAGGGATGCAGGACAGGAAAGGAGCTGCTGGAGGGGATAGACACATAAACATAAGATTTGAAAAGAGGAGAGGGGTATTCGACAGGTGGAAGATCAGTTAGAGAACCAAACGGAAGCTCTAAAAATGTAAAAGGATAATTATTATGACCAAAGGAAACAGCTGTTTGATCTAAAAATGATCCCTTCAAAGACCAGTGTAGTGTCAATAGAGAGGGAATGGTGGAAGAAAAGATACATGTGGGTAGAGAATAACAAGGATGAAGAGTGTGGGAAGATGCTGGAGGGGGGGATGACAGGGGAGTGGTTTGAGGGGGCTCATGAGGCAATGCAGCAAGGCAACGAATGCAGCCTGCACAGCTGGCTTGATTCATCTGTTTGTGTTGATTTATCAAACCCTGAGCTATGCAGCAAAGTCAACATTTAAACAACAGTTTGTGTCTTTACCATGTGCATGTTCTTCATCGCTGCTCTCCTCCTCAGAGTGTGGCTGACTGTTGCCATTGGTTACCGTTTTGGCCCTGCTCCTGGACAGGACCCCAGCCCCCGAGCGCTCCATCACAGAGGGCATAGCTGCAGAAACCAAAAGATTGATCAACAATTTTTTAAACTGTGATTAGGTCTCAAATAAACATTTATTTATTTTTAATAAAAAATGACATTTACATTTTCAAGGCTAAATAAGATATTATTTGACAGATTTACTGTACAGGGAAAACAATGAAGACTGAAAGTGAGAATGACACAGACACAGTAAAGACAATAAGAATTTATTATTTTATTTTGTATATATTTCAGAGGGGCCTGTACTGATTAACAGTTAGCTTGGAGAGCCAGTTGGGAATCCTTTAAGGTTCTCCAATTGGATATTGCCAACTGACCATTGCCTACTGCAGAAATAAATACCCCTTACTATAATTTTTTATACAAAACTCAACTTTAAACAAAGAGAATATGCTTCCAGAGAGAGATATCTTCAGAAAAAAGATCAACTTCAGATGATGCTGTAAACTTGTTTCCCCCCCATTGTAAGCTACTCACCTTAAATTCCAAACTGTTTTTAGACCAACTTATTATCCTTAAAAGTAGTAGTTTAAACTCAGCCACGCCTTCACTTCAGCATCTTGAATCTCGGGACGGTCAGAGCTGCCTAAAGCCTACAGATCCGCCCGGGACACGGCTCCACTCGGCGGAAGCCAGTCCAGTTCAGCCCCTTCCGTATTCACCTAGTACACGGTTCAGTTCCAGCCCTCAGTATCCCAGAAACAAAGACCAACGATATCAGATCAGACACCCATCCCATTGCACTTGCTGCCCCCCCCACCCCTCAGACACTTCATCCCCAGTTTCCTAAACTTTAAACGCAAACCAACACAAAGCGGGACACAAAGTTGCGTGATCGACCCACTACATTCGCCAAAACCGCTTATCGGTTTTAGAGAATAAGTATTCGTGTTTTACTAACCCCAGAGATTAAAATCATACCGACCGGTTTACCCGCAGACAATACAGATGTCTGAGGCTCTCCGGAGGTCTTTTGTCTATCCCTACTACTCGTGCCCCCCTTCCCTCCCCCCCTCCCCCACCTCGTTTAAACCAGTAACCCGGTTTCACACCATTAGACGAATGCCAGATTTTAGACGATTTATTTAAGTCAGTGTCAGAGGGATCGCTACAGCACGAAAGGAAACAGGCACACGCGGCTGGCTTTAGCAGAGTCCGCTTCACTTTCAATTAGTTATAAGGGATGGGGGGGTGGGGGGGTCGTGGTAGCCTGAAACATGGTTGCATCGACCTCCGGCAAGAAGCAAGATCCTAAACCCATTTCATCTCTGGCGTTAACTTAGTTGGGCAGAAACTACCTGTCGTTTTATACGTTGTTTGAGCGTCAACAAATACCCCCCCACCCCCAACCTGACCAGTAAACACAAACTTCCAACCATTAAATGGGCAGCTGTTACAACTCCATCAACTTAATGAACGGTTTAATCTACTTTATGCATGAGACTTTAACATTTCATACATTAGGTTTTCATTCTTTCACTCATACTTGAACAATAACTTCACAATTGCTGGTGTGCTTGCTTTACAGCAACATCAGCATTCATCAGTCTTCATTAATACCATGAGTGTAAACATTTGTCTTAAAGTGGGGTTTCATTGCAATTTTGCAATGGGGGTGGTTCATATATGCTTTTAATCATTTCAATGAGTCATTTGTAGAGCTACTGTTACTATTTTAAATTTAACATCAGATATTGGGTTTTGGTAACTTTTATTTTATTTCAGCAACACTCCCTTTATGGACTAACATCTTATCAGTTTGACTATGCAATTATCTGCGTTGTAGGACTTTGAATCTCTTTTGTTTTCCCCACGCTTGCGTTGATGATACCACAACTAAAGCTACTGTCTGCTGCTGGCGAGCAGTAAAAACTCGTTCTTTGCCTTATATTAACAGCACTTAGTAGTCTGTTCCTGGGACGTTACGCTACAAATGGCAGCAGTTAGAAATGTTGGAGTGATTTCCATATGTTTAAGCATGTAATTTGGCGACATTTCTGCCCCCTCGCTGCCAAAGTGCAATTGAAGACAACTGCACTTGGTTGTTGGGATGCTAACGTTAGCCAGTTAGCTTGCGGCTAGAAACCCTCGCGTTACATTTGTAACGTTAATAGTTGGAAGTCGAGATAACAGTCACACTGTACCTGTGTTTCGTTTCTCTCCGCTTTCCCGCACTCAAAACTTATCTGAGCCTCTGTACGCGGTCTATAATCCTCTTCGAAAGCCTACAAGACAATTATTTCTTCTAACAGGGCTTAATTCTTGCCTAATTGATGCTCACAGTCAGTACAATGAAGTGAACTGCATGGATAGATGGAAGCAGCCGCGAGTGTGTGCGCCGGAGAGACGGACAACACCCGCAAAAAAGTGAGGTGGACATCCGCTCCGCCTCTCCCAGCTTGCCGTTTGGATTGACAAAAAGTAGTCCTGTAAGACTCTCAACTTTAAACTAGTCCTCATATAGTATTTTTCTGATACACTTCGCGTTTGATATGTGAGAAGGTTTATTATCAGACACCGAAGTAAAAGCTCTTAAATAAATAATAGCTTTCATTGATCTGGAAACTCTCCAATACAAAGTGTGGATTTGACAGAGGCAAATCTACAGGAGAAGGACAAATTGCATGTGGTTTTATTTTATTTAAAAGTATTTTTTTGTAGAGTCTGAATCGGCCATCCATCAAAATTCCCCACATTGGGGTCTACTTGGCAGTGTGTTGGCGGAGTGATTCGTCAGCTGTGCATCTCTGTGCAGAGGCAGGCTGTCCAGACTTGTACTGATATATGCCTGTTGGAAGAAAGGGTAAGTGAACTGGTTACAATTGAACCAAGTGTGTTTGTGTGCGTGTGCATATACGTGTGCTTGTTTATGCGTGACTATGTGACACAGTGACCGTGACCTCAAGCGCGTGCGTGACTTCGCACCTGGGCTAACAAAGACTCAGATGAATATCCTGGGTCTTGTCATTTTTTACATCTCAAATGTTACTCATTTAAATGAGTTGGGACTTGCACACATGCACATCTGCCCGTGGATGCGTGTGAATGCACAGGTGGATGTGAGTTTGAGCAGAATAGGGAGCATTAGGGATTAGCTGTCTCAGGATCTTTCTCGCCTGATGTTTAAACACAATAACACTTACAAACTGCTGGGACCCCCACAATTGCTTACAGTTTACATGTAGCAGCCTGTCACAAACTCCTCCAGTTTCGCCATCCTCATCACCACCTCCTCTTTCCCCACCTCCTCCTCATCACCCCAGCTCATCTCCATCTCCTCCATGATCTCTCATGTTTCTCACCCCTCCCTCTCCATGCTCCTGCTTCCTGCTCATTTTGGTTCCTCCTTCATTTGACTGATACCCTTTGCTTTCTTTCATTTTTTTCCTGAGTCCCCTTTCCTCGACAACTTTCCCTTATTGTTCCTCCCTCCACCTAAGCGTCTGCCCTAACTCTGGTCCTCCTATAGCTTCCTCCCCTGTAGATTTGTCTCACCTCCTATGCTTTCCTTGCCCCCTTGTGTTTCTCCTGTCTCCCTGCTCCATTCTCTTACACCCACTGCAACACTTTTTCTTCAGTAATGACTGCTTTCCTGCTTTCTTCATCTCCCTCTATATTATCCTCTTCCTCCTTCCTGTGCCTATCTCTCTGGCTACTTATCTGCCCCTCTCTCATGTCGCTAGCAGTTCCAACAGTGTGTGCATGTGTGTGTTTGTGTGTGCGTACGTGCAGATTCTTCCCATCCCCCACCAGTTTTGCTTTGCTCACTTCCAGCACCTCCCCTCCCCACCCCATACCTCCTCTTCCTCCCTCTTCAGTCTCATTTTCACCCTTTCCACCTCCTCTCCTCTACCCCCCCCAGCCTCCTCCCTCTTCTCCTCTCATTAGTCAGTGGCCATGAAACTCACCATTCCACTGTGTCTCCTCTTGCTCAGTTCTTCAGTTCCCAATGCATCCTCACTAATGAACAACTGCTACATCTCTCCTTCTCACCCCCCTCTGAGCTCTCCCTTTTTGTCCTCCTCTGCCTTTTATCTTGTCCTCCTCTCTCCTCCTTTCCTCTCCATTCGTCACTCACCCTCTCTGTCTCCCCCTTCCCTTCTCTCGCTTGGTTTCTCTTCGATCTTTCAGAGCACAGCGTACCTCCCACTCTCTTTTTTAACTCACTCTAGTCCCCATCCACACCACCTTAACTCCCCACCTGTCTCATGCCTTCTTCTTGCCTGTCTGTATGTCTGCTCTTCTCACGTTTGTCGAGGAAAGAAATCTGTCTCCTCAGCTGTCTTTCTGCATTTTTCTCCACATGTTCCTCTTCACCCTGACTTCTATCCCTCTACCTACCTCTGTTCTAAAACCCCTGAGTTTCTGTCATCTCAGGGAATGCAAGGTCTAGAATCAGATTTCACAGAAACTCTTCCTGTTGTACTGATGAAGTCAGAGCATCTGATGACCTTTGCAAGAAAAAAGATGCAGAAATCGATGGACAGGTTTGTCTTATGTCACACCATTTCTGTGGTCCAGTGTCTTTGTGTTTTTTAAAAGAACGAGCTCTTGCATAATGAATTTGTAGGCCATTTTCAAAATACATGCCTTTTTCTTTTTTAATAACCTGTTAAATGTCCATAGGAAGATGCAATTTTTCCGTTAAACCTAACCACACAGTATCAATGCCCACCCATACACCTTATGTGAATACCTATACTCAACAGGATACTTTTGAATGGTTACACCAAATGCACAACTAACACCATCTTCAACCCCTGCCTGCTTTTAAACGTCACCAAACCATGCTAGCTTCATATAGTACTGTGAGACATTACTCTTTGCAGTTGTTTTGCAGTTGGAAACGATGCACATTTGTCATTTCATAATCCATGTAACATTCAACAGACATCTACCAAAAATAATGCAGTTCCCTACCAAATATAGTAATGTTTCATCTATAGATTACATTCTATGTGATCTAATTCTGTGCTGCATGGCTCTCCGTGCTGAGGAAAGAGGCTTCATCCTCAGCATCGTCCAACACTCTCCTCTGGTGTTTTCCACACTGCATCTGTTGATTCCCTCTCCCATCGATACACCCTCCCTCCTCATCTTTCTATCTGTGTGTTCACAGGTATAGCAGTGTGGGTGGAGGTGGGACGGGGGCATTTCAGAACATTCAGTTGGGCTGAAGCAGTTCCACATGTTACCTGTGTAGCAAGAAAATGCAGACTAAAAGAGTGTGTTTCTGCAGATAACCTTTTGAACCTTATTATGGTTCTGTTGTGACACTGCGTGCAATCCAACACGGAGAGACTTCTCGTTATGAGAATCAGGCCTCAGCAACAATCCTGTCAGCTAGGTTGCGCCCCCTACCGACTCAGGAAAACATAGTTTCCACCAACAGAAGAGACAGGCTCCCTGAAGACAAAAGACTGTGGGCGGGGTTTGAAGACAGGACCATCTGCTTTCTGCAGAGGCCTACCATGTTGTATGTGTGTGTGTGTGTGCTTGGAGAGAATGAGCCCCGTTTACAAAGCCTTATTTGCATTATGGAAAAATGGGTGAGTTTTTGTAGGCGACTATTCCATGTAGCGAAACCAAGAATCCTCTTATACTCACTGATTCTGAGAGTCATGCTTGATCCATAAAAGTATGCCCGTTAGTTTATGTGAAGGACTACTTGCAATGCCAGAGTTACTGGGCTTATGTAAGTGTTAATACCACATCAACACCAATGTGATGTCTGGGGCTGACAACAACAGAAATCTAAACACACTCTTGCTGAACGACTTAAACCCAGTTCCCGAATGTATGAATGATCTGTAAACCTCACAAAGCATTTTTATTCACTGTAGAACAAGGCAAAAATATCAGAAAGTACCAAAAGTGAGATACATTTGTTTTTAATAAAAAATATTAGCTCATCTGGGATTTATTTGACTTTAAGCCAAAAGTCCTTAAAAAAATTTTGGGCAGCTCCATGTTTACCACTTTTTCGCATCCACTCTTCCTGTCACGACTGTCTGGGAACGGAGAAGATAAATAAAGGAATGTGGTTCCACCTTCTTTGCTTGTTTAATTAAGTCCCTAAAAAATCTAGATAGACATCCTGATAAAAGAGTTTTTAGGCATGGTGGCCTGACAATGACTTAGTTTTACGTTTGTATAGCTCCATCTGGTGGTCACTGTGCCAAACTGCCCCTCCCCCCCCCTTTTTGATTTTTTACGATTATAATATAAAATGATAGGATTTTTTTTTAATTCATGTGTTTTTAAAATAAAAATGAATACATCACAGATGGTTAGTCTGTAATCTGTGCTTCTGATATAACTTTAATGAGTAATAAACGCATTTAAAAAAAAAAGCTGTTCAAATGTGAACTGAATAACTAAATATGGTAAATTTTGATGCAGTTATTTATACAAAAGCGTATGGAAATTTAGTTTTAAATACATTTGAACTGTTATGCTACTTTTATTCACGGTGGGTTCAATCTTTACCTTACCTAGACACGTAGCACAGAGTTTTCCTTTTTCCCACATTTTTTGTGTACCCTGAAACTGTTGAGACAGCACGCATGTGGGTGCCTGAACTCAGCCACAGGCCCTCCGGACAGACCTGCTGAATTTTGGACCACTATTAGGGCCATTTCTGTAATAATTCAGGTATGTATGTCCTGGATTGTAGAATTTTTCTTTTATGAACATTAATACGGTGTGTATATGGGTAGCGTGGCCGAGCGGTCTAAGGCGCTGCGTTCAGGTCGCAGTCTCCTCTGGAGGCGTGGGTTCGAATCCCACCGCTGCCATGTTTTTTTTTTTTTTTACTACACTCATATGTCAGGACTGTAGGGAAAGAAAGTGAAAGCAAAAAGACATAGATCCGACACGCAACATCATTGTAGCATAAATGCATTTTTTAAGTGTCAATATAAATTTGACTTTCGTATTTTTACTCGGGTGTTATATAATTAAAAGACCATGGTTATTTAATCTAAACGCTTCTTTGCGTGACACATAGGCAAACACATCATAGTAGAGTGATGTATTCATGACTAAAGCATTTTTTTAACTCGAAATTTTTACTTTACATCTCTGGAAGACCCGCTGTAGCTTTTGCTTTAATGAACTTAATCAATTCAATATGATCATTACCAAAAATTGTGGCGAACTTTTCTCAAACATGACTATCTTTACATCATGGACTAACTTAATATTTGGGATGTTTTTGGTTTATATATGTATTTTATACTATCTTTTAATGGGTGTAATACCGCAAACATGACCGGAAGGATAATGAACACAACAATTTCCTTGTTTTAAAAAAGGTCACTTAAAAGAGAGAAAAGAACATTGATTATCTAATATAATATTAATTTATGAAAAGTTGCCAACAAAACAAAATAAATCATTTAATGGCAGGAGCAAGGCCTACTTAGCAGAGATTTTAACTGTAACGATGCGGTGATTCAGAATCCGAGGTGAGGAAAGAGCACATGAACACAGCACAGTAGGACGCGAAGGAGAGAGGAGAAAAGAAAGGGGGTAAGGAAGGATCCGAAATGAATTCAGCCCCACAGTCTTGGCGCCAATCCGACTTCTAGAGAAATACAAGATTTACGTACACATTTGATCAAATTTGCAACTAGTCGCCGTTCCTCTCACACCCGTCGGTTGGTGCTTAGTTCAGCTAACCTTGTTAGTACGGCATCTATCATTGTCACATTAATCTGGCCCCCTTCTCTCTGCCTGTAGTCACGATACTAATAAGTCAGCAACAGCAAAGCACCGGGACAATAGAGGTCTGTTTCTCCGGGACGGCAGACCAGACACAACCACAAAATGGGGGTGAGTTATGCTTGTTTTGCCAAACCTTTCGCTATAAGGCGGTAGAATAACATGTAGAACTTTCCATATCGAAAGAAGAGAGGAGAGAAAATAAAAGGAAAGGAAGAGATGGTGGATGGATGAAGCTAAAGGCATCTTTAGCTTGCCGTTTAGCGGCTGCCAGACAGCCTCTTGGTTAGCATTACACCGTTAGCACTGGGGTACAAATGGCTTTGTGGAGCATTTTTCTTAAGTATTGCCCCGTCGTCCTGGTCGCTGAGGGCTCGTAGCTCCTGATGTGTATTGTGACGGCGTTAGCCAGCCTACCCTAGCAGCTCTCCAGAGAGAAGGCTTTGCTAGCCGTAATGACTTATGTGTGTGAGCGTTCATCTTTACCGAGCAGGCCAGAGTGTGATGCCTCTCCAAGCTGCTCATAATTCATTCAGACTTGTTGGAAGTTAATTAACTCTCTGCAACAGCCAGGCCTGCTATCATGTTGTACAGCTAAATATAAACTTTTGCCGGGCTTTGAGCTTAGACGTATTATTCTTGACCACTTTCACTGAAGTCTTAATAAACCCATCCACGTGTTTTCACGGTCACAGCTCAGCCTCTCAGTGCCTGGTACTCCGTTAATGCTCTGTGCTAAAGTTGGCAACTCTTTGCATTCCTTCTCTTAATGGTTACCTCGCCTGCTCGGGCCTGAAATGAGGGAATTTAGTTGCTTTTAGTACTTCTGCTCACCTTAGCTTGTAAATAGATTCTGTTTTACATGCAAGGGGGTCTGCAAGGATGTTATTAATAAAAGGAGACTGACAGAAGGAACAGCTTAAAAGACGTTATATTTTTGTTGCTTTCACGTTCATGGAAATTTTGGGAGTTATGCCAAAGTGTTGCTTTCAAAGAGAAAAACAATTCCTCAGAAGAAAGCTATTTCTAACCCCAGCTGTATAACACATGACTATGTGACTCTTGTTTAGGATTACTGCTCCAATGCTGCAGTATGTTGACAAGATGATCATGCTCAATATATTATGTGAGGAGTATTTATCATGTGACTTTGATATGCATGAACTTCACTTCTTTTCATTTTCCTGTTTGTATTTGCTCTGGGACTTGGTCTGATACTGTCTGCTGTGTGGCTGCAGCAAAATGAGGACTGAAGGCTTCAACATAGAAAATTGTTCATATTTAAAGCACTGCTTCTTCTTTGATGTCTCATAAAAAAAAACATTCATGGGTACAAAGTGAAGTCCATTCATTGCGTAAGATGCATTAGAAGAAAGTCGACATTCCTTCTGTAATCTCTATGCTCCACTTTTGACATGTTTGTGTGTTGGCCGTAAGTCACAGCACTGCTTTGGTGACAATCTAGTTTCTTTATCATTGAATCCATTTGAAGAGGGGCTCTTTAATCTATCCATCCATGTTTTATGAGGCTCTCCTATTTCCTTACCACTTGGTTCCTCTCTTGTGCCATACATTGTGCTACTTTGTACAGATTGATTTACAGCTAATCAGTCTGCAGTGCATCAATTCTAAACAGATCAGTTACAAACGACCAGATGAAATGGGGAAAAGGAATCTTTTGTGTTATTTTCTGACTGAATCCTGCCGTTACCGTTTCTTTTAGACTTGATAATTATACCTTGATTTGGTAAACTCTTATGAATTTCCTCTCTTTGTTTTCTCATCCTTTATGTGCTCCCCTTTCAACACATTTCCCCATCTGTCGCCTCTTTATTTCCTGGGTTTAGAGGAAGTCCAACAGAGCAAAGGAAAAGAAAGCCCGGCGTCAGGAGGAGAGGGCGGCCATGGATGCTGTGTGTGCCAAGGTGGACACGGCTAATAAGGTAATTTAGTGGCAGATTAACTAGTGAGGCAGCTGCCATCTACATTGAGAGGTTTAAGCTGCTTGTTGACTGCAGAATTTTAATGAAAATAGGGATGATCTGAGCATAAACGCTCTGCTTGTGTTTCCCATGGGGGAACAAAGTCATTCATCTCTTCTTTTAAAAATGTTTTTCATAGTGTTTCTGGCTGGGGTGACCATGGCACTTAAACCCTATCATTTTATCATGGTGGCATCAAAAACTAGATACATTCTCCTACTTTAAATACACAAATAATAGATGCACGCAGAAGTGGACGTTAGATACAGCACCATATGTTTATTTAATCAAAAGTTGATCAGCCGCGTTCAGTCCCAACCATCTAATCGAATACACAGCTCCTGCTGCCTGGAGATCCGTCAGTCCAGATGAAAACAAAGCTCACCCTCACTCGGGTGCAGCAGCCTCCTCAGCACGCTCTGAACAGGCCTGCCACGGCTTACTACCTTTCAGGCAGGAACAAATGGCCACTGGCCCCACTTTTCATTTGAACAAATCGCTCACTCACGCTTTTACCTTAATCTCAGTAGGTTACCGTACTTTAAATTGGTCTCTGAGTAAAATGTTGACACACTGAAACTATTTAACAGGCTTAAAGGGTTATTTTAAAAAAAAAGTCTGTCCATTCCTCAACATATTGCCTTACTGGTAATGGGTAGTCCAGTTAGTGAAGTAGAGATTTAACAAATGCAAAGGACAAATAGTATATTTCTTAACTTATTCCCCCCTCATAATCAAGCCACTGGATGAACACCTCATAACCTGTGGAGAAACAAAGTCAAGGCCTCATATTTTTCATTCATCACCTTTCTGTTAATTAGCTGTTGGAAAGAAGCCTTTGACTCTGCTCTTTTTCGGAGTAATCAAAGGAGCTACGTCCCTCACAATCCTGTCTGGACACCATTTTGAGTTGTTTTGGCCATTAGGCTGGTTTTGCTGATTTTTCAGCTGTTAAAGTTCAGTTTTGCACCCTCTCACAGCTTGATGACCCTCTGGCCGCCTTCCCAGCCTTCAAAAAGTACGACAGAAATGGGTATGTGTAACTCTCTTCATCACTGTGTTTTTCACCCACTTTGATGTTGTTGGACCCGTGGAGATTTTCCCATTCTTGACCTTGTGACCATCTTGTCTTATCCAGGCTAAACCTGCAGATAGAGTGTAAGAGGGTGACCGCCCTCAACCCGCTGTCTGTGGAGTGGGCTTTTGAACTCACCAGAGCCAACATGCAGACCCTGTAAGAAGTCTATTCTCTCCTCGTTTTTTTAATCGCAGACTAGGTCTTTGATTTGTTCGTATGTTGGCACACCGAGTAGCCTGTGGATAGGAGAGCAAAGTAGATGCTAACAGTAAAATAACTGCACTTCATCTCGTCTGACGTTGCCAGAATTTGAGTTCAATTTAGCAAATGGCTCGGAGTCAGTTGCAGCTTAATTTAATTTAGAAAACGTGTCCAGCAGTGTGATGATGGGGAGAGTGTGAAGCTGAAATTACCAGGCCAGGTCACGTTGGAGCCCCTTCTCTGTCTGCTGTGGCTGTAGATACGAGCAGAGCGAGTGGGGATGGAAGGAGAGGGAAAAGAGGGAGGAGATGAACGATGAGAGAGCCTGGTACCTGCTGGCCCGTGACTCCGACTCCGCCCCAGTGGCCTTCTCCCACTTCAGATTTGATGTGGAGTGTGGGGAGGAGGTCTTATATTGGTAAGATGCTCTTTGTGTTTGCGGGTCCAAAGGGAAATTTTGAAGCTGGGTTTGGCTGGAATTGACCTGCTTTTCATGATTTTGCAGTTACGAGGTGCAGTTAGAGAGCAAAGTGCGGAGGAAAGGGCTCGGCAAATTTCTCATCCAGATACTACAACTCATTGCCAACAGGTAAAAAGTGCAGCCGTCAGGAGAGCCCGGACAGGCTTACTGAAGCTCCAGAATCAGAAATCGGAATCAGAATCAGAAATACTTTAATAATCCCAGAGGGAAATTATTTCCATGATGTGCATCAACACTGTTAGTGTCGTCCCATCAGAAAGAGCTGAAAACACCACTTGAATGTGGAAAACTGTCATCTCCTCTTCTGTGATCCCACTTTCCTGATCACCTGTTGCTCAATAGAACCCACTTATGCCAGAACATATCTTTAACGAATAGACATGGCGAAGCGAGAATCTAAATACACAGAGGGTGCTTGTGTTAATTTCTGCTCCTCCAGGGAACATCTGCCAGGGCAGCATGAAAGCCTGACAGAGGAGCCAGAGGGAATTAGCTGCTGGGCATTACAGAGCCCACACAGCCTGCTGCTGACAGCAAAGTTCCCTTTACTGGGAGCACTTCTCAGACTTTTCAGTCTGAAACAAATTGAAAAGAATTTGTACTAGTTGGCCAACTTTTGATCTCCAGTCACCTCTAACGCAAATCAAAAAGGAGCCTTGTGATAAACACGTCTCATCATACTCTGGTAAAGCTAGGATTTATGTTGTTTTTTTTCTTAGCACACAGATGAAAAAAGTGATGTTGACAGTCTTCAAACACAACCATGGGGCTTACCAGTTCTTCAGAGACGCGTTACAGTGAGTACCCTTCATGTCTAAAGACTTGATGCTGTAAATGGCAAAAATATCCCTTTTCCTGGGTCTTTTTACTGTTTGAGAATATGGATCTTGATTTTTATCTAAGTTAAATTTGAAATAAAACTGGACAATTTCTTTAATTTATTGTAATAAAATGTTTATTCATGTTCAACACAAACAGCAGTTTTTAGAGTTTTAAACCATTTTACCAGTAGATTTTCAAAGACGAACACACAGACTGATCAGGGCCTGCATACCCCCTTTTTTCTTTTTCTTTTCTTTTTTTCCCCTTTTTCCTATTATGTTGCTGACTGGGAACCAGTGCTTAATCTTAAACCATTTATTGGGTTCCTAATAGCAAAAAGACTGGCTGTCAACAGGAAAGCTGGCTCCAGATATTCATTAACAAAGCCTCCATAATCCTGTTTTATGCGGGGAGCTGGGATTATTGTGTGCGGACAAAAAAGCTTTAGCAACTCACTTTTAAAAGCTGTGCAGATAAACTATCTCTGGCATAGGAGAAGGCAGGTTTTGCCGCACAGCAAGATTGATCCTTGCCTTGCGTACTGAGAAATGTGGAGGATGTTTTTTTTTCTTTTTTCTGTCTCTGATATGTTCTAAACATCTAAAGTTCCCGTCGACATTTTCAGTCTGACAGTCACAGCCCTCCCCGTGTCAAATAACCTCTTCCTTTTCTAGGTTTGAGATCGACGAGACCTCCCCGAGCATGTCCGGCTGCTGCGGTGACGACTGCTCCTACGAGATTCTGAGCAGGCGGACCAAACATGGCGAGGCCTCTGCGGGCCACACCCACGGGGGCGGCCACTGTGGCGGCTGCTGCCACTGACCGGCTGCAGTCACTCCCCATCATTGGTTAAAAGCCAGCAACTTTCATGGCCGTGTGTGAAAGCTTAAGCGTTTTGAGTTTGACCAGCCGCAGGGAGCCGTTTAAAATGAACCGCGGGCAGGACGCCTGACCGCCCAGACAGAAGCAGCGTCCGGCCTTTTTCTTTGTTTAGTTTGTCGATTGGATTACTTTTACAAAGGCAGTGTGCAGTTTGAGCTTTCACACATTGCTGTTTCCTTTCCACATTTGCGGCTCATTGTCTATCTTTTCCATCCTCTCATTCCTGTTGGTGACATTTAGTAGTTTCCCATCACGGTAAAGCCAAGGCAGCGTACGTTTGATCAGTGCTTGATGTACGACACTGTAATGAATCATTCTGCTTCTTGATCTGTGTCTCAGGAGCTAAAGTTGTCTGCTTCCTTATAGTAGACAGGTTTCTTCTCCACTCTCTAAAGTGTAACAGGTTTTCCTGCAGTTGACAATTCTTCTTAATGTTTAAATCATGCCCTCGGTCAAGGTACACTAAGCAAAGACGACGGGAGGTTTAGAGGGAATCTGTTTCTGTAAAAGAACTTGAGATGTCTTGAGAACCTCTCGCTGTTTCTCTAAAACGGCGAGATGCAGGATTAGGTTAAATGTACCATGGAAAAACCCTGAGAAGCCTGATTGCACTGTCAAAATTCAAGTTTCCGTATGTGTTGCTTTTGAGTTGGGTAGATTACAAGTACTGCAGCAAGCATTAACAGCACTGTTAACGACCACAGCTGCCCGCCGAGCTACTGTCACATAGTTAAAGGACTCCCTCAGTCTGTTTCGGACTGCTAAATGTTTAGATGTCTCCCCTGGTTTTAATTTTTAAAGTTTTTGAAATTCCGTGTACAATGTTGCCTTTCTATTCTTTGCTGACTTTTTCTGAGTAGATTATTTATATCGTTTCATCAGTCTCATGCTGTAAAAGTGCATCCAGCCCAAAAAAGGCCCCAGTATGCCCTTCTTTCTTAATGTTTAATGGCTTTAAACCATAACTGTTTTTCCTAATCAGTCTTAAACGCCCCCCTGCTTCACATACAACTTTTTAAATAGTGAGTTATTTGAGTTAGAATTTTGTTTGTTTTTTACCCCCTCTTTTCCCTTTCACCATCGCTTATGTTTGTATGCTTAAAGGCATAAATGATGCTCTCATCTAACAGATGACACTCCGTGCTCCAGTTAAACTTCATCCACCTCTGAGTTTTCTTTATTTTAATCAGTGTTTTAGTGCCTGAAGGCCCTGGTTGATCAGAGCAGACCATCTTTTCTTTTCTAGGCTTGTACCTTTGTAAAGTTACATTAAACCCGCTTGCCTGTTTTTGTTCAGGGGGGCGCAGGTGACCATTAAGACAGTGTTGATACGTTTAGCTGCATTTTAAAAGCCACCCTCCATCTCTTGCATATTTTGTTGATGTGAAAATCATATTGATTAAACATGGTGGAGGGTTTATAGTGGTCTCACCAGAGGTAATTGGAAGTGATGCCACTGAACGAGGTTGTTTTTAGAGCTCACTTGCTGTGCTACAGTTGTAGCTTGTATGCCCTGCTCACCATCATCAGCTCACATCATAAAGTATTTTTAACAGAAGAAATCGGCCTGAATAAGGATTACATCACCCACGCCCCCTGTGCCTGCAATCGCCTGGAGTCTACAAGTATTATCTAAACATTTCACAAAAATCTCATAAGCTGAAATCTGTCAAAAAGAGGAGCCTGACTTAAATGAAATGCAGATCTGGCAAATTTCACATCTACAGCTTATTCAGTTAGAACTGTTTCAGAAAGATTTAAATGCCAGCATGTTCAATTTTGAGTTTTAATTTCAATATCAAGCAATGTCAACAGGCTGCTCCAGGCAACCACTTTAACAGTGATAATTCCACATCTGCCCACCAACTAGTTCGGACTTTTTTTGTTTTCCTTTTTCATTTGCTAGTGTCGTTAGTTAAAATCTGTGTCATGGATTTACCATGAAGCTCTTTGATTTCAGGCCTGTGGTCCGCTTGTTCAGACGTATGTGGTCTAAAGGAGTGAAATTGTGGATGTAAAGGTTGTTTTGTTTTTGATTGTTTCCTCTCTTCTATGTACTGTGAGGGCCTCAGTTGGTACGTGTTGAACTGGTCATACAGGCCATGTTTTTATACGGTTTAGTACCTGGATAAAGTATGTGAAGCTGCAGACTGAAATGTGAATCAGACTGAAGTTGTATGGAAGAACAAAATTGTTATTTATCACAAAAAAACACACTTTTGGATAACCAAGCCCAAGACTTTGGCTAAAAGCTTGTGACTGCTTTCGAACAGAGAAAACAAGAATATTTATCACCCTGTGAAGTTGCTGTTTTTTTCTTTTTCTCCATGTTTGAGCCTGATCGTGGAAGGCAAAAACTCAACATTTAGCTTGTTTTAGGATTAGACTACCTTCTTTTTAGTACGGTAACTAACTTTTTGTACTGCATAGGTTACAGTTGAAAGGGGTTGTTGTACATAGTGGTAGTTGATCAATTGACTGACAGTCTCTCAGGTTAATCAAACATAATCAAACCTCATCTGTCCCAAGAACAGCCATTTTGTCAGCTTGCTGTTGGCTGGATTTGACTGACCCACCGCTCTGATCTGGAGTCCGTTTCTATGTCTCACACCGTCATACGTAAAGAAACTTAAAAATGTCTAAAAACTCTACTTTAAACACAACCAGAATATTAAAAGAAGATGTAGTCAGTGTAGATTATGTAGTTTTTAGTTTCATCTAGTTCCTTGATGATGTGACTTTGCATGAAAGTAATTCTGACCCTAGATCAGTGCTCAGTGGTTACATTCAATCTCAGCAGGTGGGCTTTTTAAAAAAGAAAAATTATTAAGAAGAAATACATTTTAAAAAAAGTTCACTGGCATTAAAATGATTTTGTAAAAAAAACAAGTTGAAAGATGAGCAGAAACTTAATCAGTTTGTTTTGAAGTCAGTGGGTGGGTTTGTGGGTTTTTTCCTTCTAAAGAAAACTGGTGTATACCCTCTTGACCCTCAGATAATTCTCTTGGACTTTTCTTTTTGTATATAGATATATATAAATATATATAAGCTGTTGTGGTTACACCTTTTTTTGGCCTTTTGCAGGTAAAACACTTTTTTTTAAACATGAATCAAGAAATACTCCATGTTTGAGAGTGAGTGTTACGGTCCTGTCCATAAATGATGATGAAAGGGAAAGTCATTCTGCCTTGTCAGTGTTTTATTTGTATGTTACAAATAAAGGAAAGTTGTTTGACTTTACAGGTTTCAGATTTGTCATTTAATCTTAAACACCATGTACCTGTTAAAAATATCTTGAGATGTAATTTGATATTTCTAGCAATTGAAAACTCTAAATCACCATATTGTAAAAATTTTTGTTGACGTCAATGACTATGGAGGAATACTAATTTCAGATATTGGAATTATAGTTGTTTATGTATGAATTAAAAATGAACCCTCAATAAGATTTAATTCTTCGGAACATTAATCATGCAATCCCACGTTGGTGGAACTATTGCTGAGTGTTTCTATGGGGACCCCTTATTGGGTTACACTGAAACCGGAAGTTGCTGGTACGTTTTATGCAGGAATGTCCGAGCAGAACTAAATGAATGGATGTTGTGATGCGCCTGTACTCTCATCTGTTCAACGTGACATGCGGCTTTAAGTGCACCAGTCTGCCTCCCCGCGGGTTTTCTGCTGTTTCCTGCTGCTGGTGAGCGCAGACCAATTACAGGTGAGCTGTTTTCTCTTTAGCTTAGCTTACAGTGGTTTGTGAAATTATTCACAACACTGGAACCTTTCACATGCATAAAACCTCCTTCAGGTTTTTACTGTTCGCCTCTCGTGCTGCTGCATGGGAGTCATCAAACTTTTGGCGGTCGGCTTACCAGACCAGTAGTCCTTAAACTAGTTTAATTCCCTCTGAATGTATTTGGCGAACGTGGTAACAGCCTATTATATAAGAAAATAAAACGTTTAAAGGAAATCCTGAGTGATGCTCAATGTCTTACATATTCCTGTCCCATCAGCTGGCGAGGGTGCCATGGCAACCAGGATGAAGCTCAAGCTGAAGACCGTGTTTGTGCTCTACTTCATGGTCTCCCTGATGGGCCTCGTCTATGCCCTGATGCAGCTCGGTCAGTGACCCGGCACCCTTTAAGCCCATATTCAAATAATTAAAAAAAATAAAATAAATATTGTTCTTTGCCATTTTAAAGTGTAAAGAAAACGTATGGTAATATAGTCATATATAAATGTATTAGTCTGTAAATCCATGGTCTTTATTTGGGAAATATGGTCATCTTTATATTCTGATAATATAGCCGTATTTAACATCCAGCATAGACCAAATCAAAGTACGGTAACTCGACACACGGTTGTTTTGACTACAGGACAAATTAAATGACTACCATGTTATACTTGGTTCCACAATGGAGCAATAAAAATATTTTCATTTTTCTTTTTGGTTACACTCATCTGTTGTGAATAATTCTACATTGCAAATATATATCAATGCTTCTATAAACCTTTATAATGGCAAACAGACTGTTAAAGATGGATAAAAAACTTCAGTAAATTGTTGCAGACAACCTTAAGACAGACTGAATAGTGTGATTGTAGGTGAAGGACTTCTTCTTTGTACTCTGAACTTGAACAGGCCAGCGCTGTGACTGCACGGAGCTCGTCACATCGAGAGATCGGACTATTTCCCGTCTGCGGGAGGATCTCCACCATCTTCAAGATCAGATCAAGAAGTTGCAGACGACTAAACAAACCCCCAAACAGCCGCAGAAGCCATCCCTGCCCACCATCTTTGTTATTACTCCCACATATGCGAGGTAGTCCTTCTCCTCATTGGGCCGCCTCATCTCCACTCTCCTCTGTCTCTCGCTGACGTCGTCACCTCTTCTCCGGTCTTCGTGTCTGTGTGCAGGCTGGTGCAGAAGGCCGAGCTGACCCGTCTGTCCCAGACTTTCCTTCATGTACCTCAGCTTCACTGGATCGTGGTGGAGGACTCGCCACAAAAGACGCCGCTTGTAACTGACCTCCTGATGAAGAGCGGCCTGACCTACACACACCTGCACATGCTCACCGCAAAGGACCGCAAGCTAAAGGAGGTCGGTGGACAGCATCCTAGTTGCAAATGCTTATCCCTCCGGTGATTTTTTTCACCCTGCTTGTGTACACAAAAACACTATTTTGGGTCTGCTCTTCCTCAGGGTGACCCCAGCTGGCTGAAGCCCCGCGGGGTGGAGCAGAGAAACGAGGGACTGCGGTGGCTCAGGCAGGACCGAGAGGCTCAGCTGGGAGGGGACAGCCAGCAGGGAGTGGTTTATTTTGCTGACGATGATAACACGTACAGCCTGCAGCTCTTTGAAGAGGTAAGAGATGGATTGGCTTTTCCAGAAGCAGCTTCCCTCAGCATTGCTAAACCCCTGCACGCTCAAACCTCGTCTTGTTCGGATCCAGATGCGGAGCACCCAGCTGGTTTCGGTGTGGCCGGTGGGACTGGTCGGCGGGATGAAATATGAGAGGCCCGTTGTTGAAGGAGGAAAGGTAGATGCTTGTTTGTCAGCTTGCGGATGATGTTGAAAATCAGAGAATAAGAACCCACATCAGGGAGAAACAACTAAAATCAAACTGTCTCAAAAGCTCGAACAGGTATACAAACATGAGTTCACAGGCTGGCTTCTTTTCTCACACTGAAACTCTGAAACTTCAGCTACATTGGTTTGGTTTAGGAAAATCCAGCACAATTCGAGATAAATCAATCTGAATTTTTATGCTCACAGGATAAAGTTTAGTTCTTGTAGATAACTTTCAGCTCTCTTTTTTAAGGTGGTTCGCTTTCACGTGGGCTGGCGGCCCAGTCGCCCCTTCCCCATGGACATGGCCGGCTTCGCCGTGTCCCTCAAACTGGTCCTGGCCAATCCGGAGGCCTGCTTTGACGGAGAGGCTCCGATGGGACTCCTGGAAAGCAGCTTCCTGAAGGGTCTGGTTACTATGGAAGAGCTGGAGCCCAAAGCAGATGACTGCACTAAAGTACGAGTGTGTGTGTGAAACAGAGAGAAATGGTGAAAGACAATAAGGCAGAATCTGTTCTCACGTCAGATTTCAATTTCACTGACCACCTCCTGTTATTCATTCTCAGGGAGAACAGACACTGATCAGCCGTGTTATGATATTATTGTTTGACCTGCTCTTCTTTCCACACCTATGTGCTTTGCAGGTGCTGGTGTGGCACACACGGACAGAGAAACCGAAGATGAAGCGAGAGGACGCGCTGCAGGCTCAGGGACTGGGTTCAGACCCCGCCGTGGAGGTCTAAGGAACACACATGCGCACACAGTCTAAAGTATCCTCTGCTGGTAAACGCTGAGTCAGTGTCTTTGCATTGAAAACAAAACCAACCTGTAAAACCGAAAACACAGACACCATAAAAGAGACATTAATATATCCAAATTCATTACGGCTGTCTGCTTTTAGGGCCAATCAGGTACTAAACGTAAATGGTTGTGTAGTGAGTGATCGCGGGTCACAAGTTTTCAGTTTGCTTTTGAGGTTTTTGATGTCGTACAAATGAGAGAATGATGAAGAGGAAGTCTAGTGAGTCACCCGAAGGGGGCGCCATCGTAAAACTCTGCAACTTTTATCAATCAGGGGTTTTTCCAGGTTTGTATTCGAAGTTAATCCTGCACCTTTACTTATTTGTAGTATTATGAGAATGCTGTACAACATCCTTACTAAAAGTGTTTTTTTTGTTTGTTTTTTCTGTGGGTTTTTTTTGGCTCTCAGCTTGTCCCACATGCTTTGAGCGAGTTCAACATATGTGAAAGCGCTCTCCTTGTTCAGGACACGTATATCTTTTGGTGTTTATATCTTTTAAACTTCTTGAAATATTTAACTTTTTGTGATTTTTATTATTTTTTTACTGTTTTGCTCTTGTTGAAGTGAATGGAGAATCCTTCAAAAACTTCAACCTCTTTAAACCTCATACTAGTCATGTGATGTGTGATTCATTTGACCTTTGACCTTTTTGATGAGAACTCTTCGTGTCTGTGTTGGAATGGTCTTCAGCTGTGTAGTGCCCATAAGCCTGTAACTATTCATTTAGATTAATAATTTAAAGGGAATTTGAAGGGAAATGCAAAAAAAACAGGCCAGTTTTGTACAAGCATAATGCAACAAAGCAACAAAAATTAACAGCCCAATTAATGCAAAGTAGTGAGCAAATTTAAGAAATGCTGCCTTGCAGAGGTGTTGTAAGCACAACAGGTGAACCACATTAACTATATAGTGCAACACAAGCATAGGACGGAATAGTTTGACGCCCAGTAGGGCTTCATGTTAAAGCTCCGAGCTTATGTGCTGGGTTTCAGTGTTTGCGCTAACAACAAATAACCGTTGTCATTTTTTCACGTTTAATTTTTGAATGGCTCCATTCAAACACAGAAACTGGAACCCATTTAGCAGAATTAAATATGGTTCCATCAGTAGTTTGGCTCATACTTGTGCGTTTGTTATCCAGTACAAAACAGATAATCCACTGTAATGAAAAGAAAGAAAACACTTGTCATTTGTCCTCAACAGGCCAGAATGCCTCTCTACTTTGACGTATACAGTGTTTTATGTCTGCTGTTGAGGAAAAAGTATCAAATGTAAATAATTCTTCTGGAGCTGTGATTCCACAACATCCGCTGACGACTAATAGTAACAAACAAGCTAAATATCTTCAACAAGCTGTTGTTTTAGGACTCTGGATGAACAGTTAGGTTAGTGCCTGCTTTAGTGTGATTAGTGCCTGGGAGGACATTCTCTCCTGGTGTTTGTGTATTTATTGATGTAATATTGATCTCTACATTGTACAGTGTGATATTTTGTGCCCATGGCCTTGAAAATGAATCTCCATTATGTAAAACAGAATTTCTCGTTGCCTCCTGTTATTAAAAGGTGACTAAATATAGTACAATGTCTTCCCACTTCCTTTTTGATAGTCAAAAAGAAGGTAAAATGTTTGGAATGCACCTACTGTGCCAGCCGTTAAACCCATGAGGGCACCAAACTGGTGAGTGGACACGGAAGCATGGTGCTGTTTATTTCAGGCTCTGGGTTATTCTTCACTGAAATATGAGGAAATAGCCGAACAGATAACTTCTTTGACCTTTTTATAACTCTTTTTTTCAGTTTTTTCAGGCAAACTTCTTGAAAAATGGTGTTTCATTAAAAATTGAGTTTGTCTTAGTAAAGCGGTTCAATGATTGATTTCTATGTTTTTTCCTAAGAAAAACATGCAAACAACTTTTGCTCTCTCGAAGACATTAAAGCTATTTTGATCAGACACTATAGGACACTATAGGCCACAAAATAAAGCTATTTTGTGGCCTATAGTGTAATAAGGGAACATTCCTCCCAGCATCTCAGCATTGTTTTTGTTTAGTGTTTTGCACCTAACTTTAAAAAGTCTGTTTGGGCCTCCTGTGAGTTCTACTCATCAGTTTTAACCTGTCTGTTGCTAATGACTAATCGTTTGGCTATGAAAATGTTGGCGTAGATTCTCATATGTCCAGGTCATGGTAATCCTAAGAGGATGTATGGTGTAACACCTTCAAAAACCAGAAAGAAGTGTAGCAGCCTCTACACAAGCTTTTAGCTTTACAAAACCATATTAAACAAAACAACTATTACATTTCTTGTTTTTTTCTCTTATTTGGAGTTAAGATATGGGAAATACTCCCAAACACTTGAAACTGTTAAAGAAATCACACCATTCTTTAGAAACTGAAAACAGAAATCGGAACCAAAACGTTTGCGTGCAGCTGTGACACCTTTAGGGTGAGTTGAAACCCAGCCAAAAGCACATCTGTTCTGTCTCAGATCTTCTCATTAGCCTGAGGCAGGCCAGTGACTTAACTCTGTTACACTTTTCAGTCTGTATATTTTATCGCTTTTGTCGTTACTTTATAACTCTGTCTTCTGGTTGTTTCATTTTAAGGCTGATTTTATTCAGATACACCTTATTCATCATCCTAACTTGTCTCAGCTTGGTGGTGACCGTGGCAGCCTGCTTCTAACATTTGGGCCATCTCCTCAGCCCTTTAACACTTTAGGACAGGCCGGGTCCACCCTCTCTTCAGGGAAGCTGCCACACTATGACCATACATAGTGTGTGGAGGTGTGAGTCCATGGCACAGAAGAGATGAAGGTGCCTTGTAAGGTGAGTAGGAGGACCTGAAGTCATAAAGTTAGAAGCACAGTATCTTTGATGCCCAGTGAGTCACTCAAAATCCCGTTCAGGTGCATCAGTTTATGCCGGTGACTCTGGGAGGTGGTGACATGCCTTCGTTATTGAACAACACATCACACTTTAACCAGCATGTTTTTTTTTCTTTCTGTGGTTTCCTGATTTTGGTGTGTCATCACAGTGTATGTGTGCATACATGCACAAGACGGAGAGAGATCACGGCACATCCTGAATGAAGAAAACACAGACACTGAGATCATTACTCAACGCACACGGGCAGGAGAGCTCCCACTCCCAGTCACACCTAGACGCCCCGATTACTGTCCCAATAAAGATGTCACGTTGTTCTTTAGTTCTGTCTCACGATCTCTTCTAAAGACCCTATGCAAAACATTTTGACGTGTTCTGTTCACCTGTTTTGTCTTTGGAAGACATCAAGTAAGACAACATTCAGGGCCAAACCCATTCAATCCATTTATTCCTGCAAACATACTCTCCACCAAGACAAATTCAGCATGCTTGAAATAGATAAAAACAAAAGCCAGTCCAAATTAAAGAAAACCCAACTAAACCAAAAAGAAGAAAAAAAAACATGATACTGTCATACATAAGATTACATGTACACACTCCATTTTTTCCACTTCATCCCCATGGAGCACGTATACATGAAACAGTAGATGACCAAGAGCTGACCTCTGTGGGACTCCATATGTAATGCTGACTCTATCAGGTTCAAAGCCTCCTACAAAAAACACAAAAATATTCTACCAGCAAGACAGTGAGAAAGCATGAATAGCAGCACCACCAGGTACTGAACTCCTTTTATAAAACTGAGCAACAATAATATGAGGAAACTGCTGAGATGAAGCAAAACTAGCTATTCTAGTTATACAAAAAAGCAATACTAGTTATACATTTGTAGAATATATTCTATTAACAGGTAATAAGAAGTTGAAATCCAACAAATTCTTGTCAACTGTATATTTAGCTATATTTCTTAATTCAAGTTGAGGATCATTTTGTGTGTTTTGGACTGATGTGGGTACTGTGTTAAATGGCAAGTTAAATTACCCGTTTTAAAACTTTTATCAATGTCATGAGTGTGTGGTCAAAAGGAAAACATTTCAATTATGTAAGATGGTGGATTAGCGACCTGTTTGTATTATCTTCATCTCTGACCTCAGTAGATATCAGAAGTTCAGCGGCTTGTGATAATGTCCACAAATCTCAGATAAATGTGTCCTGAAGCAACAGCTGGAAATCTACCAGCTCAGTCACGCCATCAATAATGTCATGTTTTACTTTAATATTTATGTGTACATCTCTTTTTTATGGACATTTGAAATGATTAATGTTGTGTTTAAGAAAGTGACATCACCCTTTGAGGTTAAAGTTGAACTCTACACATTCTCCCTCACAGAATGGGGAGGTTCACTTTTCTTGTCTGATAGCAGACTGTTTTCTGCTGGTGGGCAGATCTTGAGCTGATGTACAGTGTTTCATTCCTGGTTGAATACACACCTTTGTGCCCCAGATTTTAACGGCGAGCTTTTATCATTGACTTGTTGAAATATGTAAAGAGAAGGTGTGTGTTTTTGACCAGAAGGAGTCAAAGAGTCCTTGATAATGAGAGTGCTTTACTGCTTGTGTGTGGGGCTCTGTTGGGAGAGAGAGTGTGTCTGTGTGTGTGTGTGTGTGCGTGCGTGTGTGCGTGCATGCATGCGTGTGTGTGCGTTTCTAGTGATGATGACGGAAGTGCAGGTTTGGGCAGGGCTGGTGTGACGTGGTGCGTTAGGGTGACTCTGAGGAGCAGCCCAGCTCTCAGTCATTCGCTCACACAGAGGGAAAAAGAAACAACAGTAGCACATCAGGTAAGACCTGGCAAGCATTTCTCATTACTGATTATGTAAGATTCGTGCACAACCTTTGTTTATAACCTTTTAAACCCATCTTTTCCTTTTCTGATTTTGACACCTTTTACAAATATTTCAGATTGTTTTGAATTTTGTGTTACAGCAGCAGTCCTGACAGTAGAAGCTTTTTTTTTTTGCAAAAAAGGAGGCCCAAAGGATTAAGCCAAGAGCTGGGAATGTTCATGATTCTGTGTATTTTTCTCAGTTTCTGCGGATTAAATGTGCCTGTGTCTTATCTAACGTAAAGTGCATAGCTTTAAGCGTCCCATCTTACCTCTGGTGTCAGCTCAGTGAATGGTGACAACAGCAGGTGTTTTATGCCATCACCGCTATTTGGTGCTGGACAAAACATTAGATGTCAGACTCTCATGTTTGTGGAAAATAAGCTACATGTTTCCCCACCTGTTATTATTAGAGACCAACCAACATGTACTCTGACAATAGGCGGTGTAAAGTCTGTGACCAGCAGGACAGTAGGACAGGACAGATCAGTGTCAAAGTCTGACTGTGTGTGTGCCTGCCTGTATTTGTCTAACTGTGGGAACACTCTGTCTCTAGCTGTGGCATGATATGAAATCTTTATCACAAAACCGATAACATCTGCCTAGGCCACTCGCAGACGTAAACCCCTGCATTGTTTGCATAGCAGCTGCACTGCAGAGTGCTTACCATCCAGCTCCACTCTGAAATATGTGACAATTTTCATACATGCTGAAACCATTCCACTTCCATTAGGGAGAGAGAGGCCCAAAAAGTGAGGTGGGCAGCATTATGTAACAACATTAACCTCTAATCTCTCTTTGCCCTTTCTTTCAGAGGAGAGAAAAAAGAAAGAGGAACGCTGTAGCATAAGTAAAGTAAGAGCACAACAGAGCCTTCAAGAATTGACAGAAAGTGAGAGAAGAGCAAAGAGAAAAGATGACGATTGGCAAGAACTCCAGGAAGAGCTCGGTCCGAAGCTCCATCCGGACTCCAAAGTTCCTGGACAAGTCCAGTGGCTTCTACGGTCGCCTTGATGAACCGGAGAATGCCACAGAGGGGGTGGAGGTGGGAGTGGAGAAAGGTACAGAGGATGGCATCGAGGAAAGAGGAGTCCAGAGCTCATCCCCTTCTGTGGTGCACCCCTCAGGGGTAGATGACGAAGTGTTTGACTTCACCGATGGGATGATGGAGGATGATGGAGAGACTCTCCTGCGCAGGAAGCCAAGCCGTCTTAGCAGCAGGTGGAGGAGAAGCTCCAGGAGGAAGCAGAAGGAAGGGAGGGCTGAGGAGGAGCAAGCTGGAGAGGAGAGGCCCAGCCTGGTGATGGAGAGTCGAGGGGACTCCCCTATCCTGGAGGACTCCAGACTCAAGATTGAAGTGGGGATGGAGAAGTTAAGCAAGATGGAGGAAGAGGAAGAAAAGGTCGGAAAACAGAAAGAGCCTGCTCTTCATTTCCCTGCTCAGGAGGATGCAGATGACCAAGTCCTGATCAGAGACAAAAAGAGGGGACGAGAAGAGGATGGGGAGGAGGAAAGGAGGATGGAGAGGGAGCAAACGGAGGGAATGAAGATGGTAAAGAAGAACACTGTAAAGAATTATCGCAGGGTAAGCTGTTTTTTCTGTCAGTTTAATAACCGAACTTCTGCTTTCTGTCTCACATGTACATCATTTCCATATTTTCCATCACTCCACCTGGTTAAAGTTTAATCTGTTGCATGTTATACAACCAAACGCTCCGAGCATGTGGAACAGGGAGTAAAGTTCTGCCCCTTCATCCTCCACGTAACGCAAACAGAGTTATTAATCACCATGGAGACTTATCACAGCGCATTAATAATAGGCGTCCCTCAGGTTCAAAGTACAGCAGCCACTGGAACATGTCACAGACACCCTAAACAGCTCCTGGCAGGACTTTTCCTTCACGTCACCTTTAATGACATAAAAGAATCGAGCCATGAACAGGGTCAAAGTGCAGCTGACTGCCTGTACTTTTTCCTGCCTCCCGCGTTGTGAAGATTTTCTGCTTGGAGTAAAACACACACTCAGGGTTGGCATTCTTATGGCTCCCATATCATGTGCTTTGATCAGTGGAATGAGACAAGGCAGCCTTGAACCTCCCTACTAAACCAACAGCATAAAAACATTCCTCTGCTGATCAGATCTACCCCTGGGCCTCACAGAAGTGAGAGTAGAGGACATTGTGACCACAGACACCTCAGGAGGGGGATAATTCAAAAGTATTATTGGATATGTTACATGGGACAATCTCTCACTTTTTGTTTTAAACCAAAAAGTGCTGGCTGAGTTTTTCCAAAACGCTTTCATGGCAACAAGCTTAACATTTCTTTCTAACAACATTCCAGTCTCCTTTTTACATGTAGACTGCTGGTTAACATGCACCATTGGTGTTTGTTTCCTGGTAATTTCCCTGGAACCAGCAGTGGCATTCTGCACTAATCACTGACACAATGATCACCTTGTGCACTGAACACGGAAGTGTCATTCCAGTGAACCGCAGCAGTAATTTGAAAAATAAACAGCAGTAAGATCAACAGGATCAGAACTGGGATCGAAGAAAAAAAGATTAAGCACCACCTGATTCCAAGCTCAAACTAGACTGAGCACAATTGTGTAGCCTCACAGGAGATACTCTCAAGTCTTTAGGTGAAGAGAGCCTATCATAAAGCCAATGATCTCATGTCTGACTCACACTGGATGTTGTTAACATTTTGAAATGGACTTGGTATGAGTTCTAACCCATCCTCTTCCCCCCAGGCCTTTGACAGAGCCTTCCGGCGCGGCTGGGAGGCCTTCATCACCAACCTCTACAGCGTCACCCTCACGTCTGTGACGTCATCCTCGCCACCACCGGCCTCTCCATCGCTAAAAAAGAAGCATCTGCACAAGTCTGTGTTAGCTGAGTTTCAGTAGGTCTGGACAAAGACAAGGCCACTTCAAAGCTCTTTTTTTTTTACATTTGATATGATGAAACCTGGGATACACGGGGATTTCTCTGCTGCTGAATAATGATGGACAATCGATGTACAACACTTTGCAGTGCCTTCCCGTGGTGCGTGAGGCCTTGAAACATAAACTACTTATTTTATTTAGTGAGTCTTAATTGCTTTACATCATGTTTGAAATCCTAGCACAATTGGCGCACTTTATTCTGCACAGGCGGCAGATTTTTACAAGCTGGTGGAGCCAAACTGTGTATTTTGTATAGAATCCGAGGGGACAGTGTGTTGTCTTTACAATCTGTGACTTAGCTCTGATATTTTTCAGTGCTTTCAGAGGTGTATACGTGTTTTCAGCTCTTAATCTTCAAATCTTGCCCACTATCAAGAGCATATTATGCAAATGATCTCTGCTTTCTTTGGGCTGACAGTATGAAACGACTAAAGTGTTGATGTGTGACCAAAAGGAGTGGAAGATTTTAAAGAAAGCTATGACTGATCAGTGGACTTTTGTTCTGGAGATATTCATGTTCCTTTTAGGATGATCAATGAGACTGATTTCTGATTAAGCGTGTGCCTGCTATCAATAATCAGTTGAGGCTAAAAGGATCAAAGGAGTTGAAAGTGAAGACAGTCCTACTCAAACAGTCAGTATTTAGATGTTATTATCTGATCTAAATGATTTTGCTGAAATTTGTACAGCAGTATTTATGGAGAAATTGCACATTTATCTATTTCAACTCTTTGAAAGATACATTTTTACACTATTTGAACACGAAACATGAATACACAGATTGTAGGCTTCTTCCTCCTCAGATTCCTGCATGTGTTCTGGTGATGGTTCCTCAACCTGAAGGGACACAATACTAAACTGTATGCATAGATTTGTGTTTAGAAACAAGCACAAATGAGCTTACTTTTCTGTTCATTCCTTTGTACAAAGGCTACTGCAGCCTTATTGTGAAATTATATTTAAATACAGTTAATTGTGGACTTTTGGAGAAATAAAAAAGTTTTTAAAATAAAGCTGTCATTTTCTATCAACAAACATGTGTTTCAATTCCTTCTCTCAATAATGATTTCTCAACAGTAGACTGGGGAGATCAACATATTGGCCTGTTTTCATAATGACTCAAATGATATGAAAAACGTTTGTCTCCTGATCCCAGCTTTTAAAATGGTTTTCAAAGCAAGGTGAATCTTATTTACTAGATTCAGATTATTTTTGAAGGTAAATCTAAATTGTGAGTACCAGGTTATATGGATTGGATATTGAATCAATGTTATACCCAATCACTCATTTTAAGTATAATTTAAACTATACTTTATACATTATTATAACTATACCATTATTATTACAGCAGAATAACAACAATCTTAAGCTTCTGCAAGTTCAACTTAAGTGTGACTTGTGTTGAACAGGCCTTCATTTATATATGAAACTCTTTACCCTGTAATCTGATTTATATGCATCTTGATAGAAACCCTTTAACACGGAAGTTCCCTGCTCCATGTGTGCAGATCAAGGAAGTGTTTTACTTAGAAAGCCCTAATAAGCTTTCTCTTGTTTGGTCTGGCCTCAAACATGTCTACTGTTTGAGGCATCCAAATTGTGGGGTTATTTTGAATGACCTAACAGGTCTCCACCATGTCCTGTCTGTGGATATAACTGAGAAAGATAATTACCATTTCCTTTATAATCCTTTATTATCCTTTCTTTGTACTTATTTAGGATTCTTTGTAATATATCAGCTCCAAAACGTGTGTCCAACTAATAAAGTAGTTGAAACTTTTTTAGGCAGCAGCTGCAATCTGGAACATTTGTGATAATTTCTCTCTCACATGTTGGGATACCTGTATAACTCTACACACAGTCATTACAAACATGTTGCACAGTAATGTGTTTTATCACACGGTGTTACTCCGGGCTGTGGTTTCCTTCTCTCTGCTGCCACCTGCTGCTCAAAACAGACACCGGCTTAAGTTCAGCGGAAATGACGTAGAAAGAGAAAAAAGACGAACTATATTATAATTTTATTTATTTATTTTTCGAATAAACCAGTTGTCAACGTATAACAACTTTGAACACTTTTTCACCTTTTTGCTTTCAGTGCGAGCAGTTTGTTTTCTATTCCTAAGTTGTTTGTCCTCGTTTCCTGGTGGGAGGAGTCCCGATAGCGGACATAAAAAGGAAATCATCCTGTTTCTTCTTCCACTTTCTTCTGGAGCCCGACTAAGGTAATATCCTCAAAAAACATTCATTTGCAAACATGTTAGTATTCGGGCAGTAATGTCTAAAGAAACTAGAAAAGTAACACAGCGGTCATCTAATGGCTAGTTTGCTGCATTTACATGAGCTAATGTTTAAGCTAGTTTTCCCTGTCTGCTGTGTATGCAGCATTGATTATGGCTGAATACAATCTTAAGCCATCCACCAGTAAGTCCCACCAACTTTTTCGGTAAACCTTTACCAACATTAATAGATGTCTATTGTCAAAGTAATGTGCGCATTATTGGACAGATTTCGTATCCCCTGTAGTTTAAAGTTTTGTCCGGCCTAACTCTTAAGCCATGGCCGTAAAGTGTTTGGCGCGGTTGCTCGCATCGTCTCTCAGTGATGATAATTTACACAGACCTGTACTGAATGACTGTGACTGCATTAAATTATTCTGATGTGAGACGATTTTTCATGTAATTTCTACGTTGTCCGGCAGCCCATGCTGGCGGCTGGAGCACGTTGCGTTGGACGATCACGTGGTTGCGCTTCTGCAAAGGCTATCGGTGGATAGCATTATGCTAATACATGTGTCATATTTTTTTATTTTACAGATGATAGGAGAATTTAAACTCAAAGGCTGCACAGGTAAAATGTCTTGTGATTTGCATTGCTCTGCAGTTTAGTGTTGTAGGCTTATAATAAAGTGGATGTAAGGATGACTGTAGACATGTCATGCAGCCTCATGCTACAGTGATGTTATACTTGAACTCTCTCACTGACTAAACCTCGTGAAGACACTATCTCATAATTCTGAGTAGCATGAAGCTTTTATTCAAATTATCGCAAGCCGGTTCTGCCAGTCATATCAAAAGTTTGTCTTTGCCTTGCAGGTCAGATGCCAGATGCCACACATCAGGTAATTGGATTATTACTCCTTTCTCAGTTTAAACTTTGCAGCTCCACTAATGACTAGTCACTTTTTTTGTTTAAAAAAAAAAAAGCCATCTGGCTCTGTGGGAGCTTTGTGTGCTGCAATGATGAATCTCTGAACTCTCTCTTACTGAATCTGCCTTTGAAGAAACTTCTTTACCAGATTCTGAGTAGCATATTGGTAACATGTCTATTCCAAACATTTAAAATGTAGATATTAAACCCTATATTTTGTTACAGATGTCCAAGGCCCTTCCATCTTGAAAATTAAAATGGAAGTTTTTTCACCAGCAGGTAAGCAACAATAGTTGAAACTCTTAAGAATGCTTGACGTCTAGCTGATGAGTTTATAATAGACAAGCATATGCCTGACTCTTAATGATGATGGCTTATTTTTTCTGACCAGACCTTAATGGACACTGGAGATCATGTTTTACTCTGATTAGAGCTAATTATTTTTTTCCGTTCAGAGGATGGCGTTTGTTTGCTGCTCTAACAGTAGCAGCAGGAGAGTGGAAAGGTGAGCTCCTCTTGGTTTAATGGGTGTAATAAGTTGTGGGTATGAAAGTGATGATTACAAATATTGACAAGCATATGCCTGACTATAGTGATGCCACCCTTTAAAATCTGATTTTTACCCTCACTTGCATTGATGCAGTTTGGCATTTTTGTGCATTTTATAAACCATATTTCTTTCTGCTAGATGGAGGCCTTGTGGGAAGCACCAGCAGGATGTTGTGAAATGACAAATGTAAGACATGCAATTAATTTGATCACAATCTTTAAAACAGCCCCTCAGTAGCATGTTTGAAAGGATGAAATGGGGTAGCACCCATCAAAACACCTGGACGACTATTGTCGTATGGCATTTTGTCACCAAAGCCCTGATCGAACACGCCTCACTAAAGCTCCACAGTAAGAGCTGTTGTGTGCTTTCAGCTAAAGTGGCCTTCTTTTTCTCCCCCTCTTGCAGTTCTTACCCATTGACTGTTTGGGGACATGATCCTTGAAACCGAGGTAAGATTTGAGACGCCCCTGCCACCCCCCCTCCCCACGTGTTGCAGTTTCAATGATGATGAAACTTAGCTCACTTTGATTTGCTGTGAAACGACACGAACTTCTGAGCAACTGCATCCATTAGTTTAAACCGTGAATGTTTTCTTCTTAAAGAGGCTGACTTCAACTTTTTTTTTTTTTTTCTTTAAAGGACTTCGCTGAGATGGTTACACTGCTGCCGTGACATGAAGGCCCTCTGAAGGTAAAACAGTTCTGTAAAACATAACTGTTCTAAGCTTCTGATAATGATGAGATACATCTGGAATCTCGTTCGTCTGAACTGCTGTTGAGAAATGGAATATCTGACATCAGAGACTGAACTGATTTTAGCTGTGAAATGCAGCCTGTGTTCTGTGCTCTAATTGATGGTATTGCTCCAACAGGTCCTCGGCCCCATGGTGGTCATGTTGCCCCCATTTCCTCGAGGCTTATAAAGGTAAGCGTGGAAAGTTGGTGCTCAGTTCTACTAAAATATGCAGTTTCCCTTTTTTATGATGACACTCGCACATGTCTTACGCCTTGTCAACGCCAGACCTGAAAAGGTGAACCCACTGGTGTTGCCTTGGCAATAAGGTGATGGTTCGTTGGGGTTACCAACAGTCTGAATGAGGGAAATGTGGGGGAAAAGGAGCCTTTTGATTAAAATTCTAAGACGATATAATTAACACTCATCTTTTTCAGGGTGAGGAGATGCTGTGGGACCTGAAAAGAAGGCTTGGTCTCAACAAACCAATGGACCTGCTTTTCTCCTTCCCCATTGAGGTGGGTATCTGTCTGACACGGCACCACTACAGTAACGCCAGACATGATGATTTAGTTCATACCGCCCCAGTCTGAGAATCCATGACTGATTGGTATCCCCTCTGATCCTGGCTCAATTTAACATTTTTTTTTAAAATTGGTTTTAAAAAAAAAAAAAAAAAAATTGTGCTGTCATTGTTGTTTCATTGGGTAACTGCATCTTTTCCTTGCAGGATGTGTGCTGCAGGTGCTGAGGATCCAGAACTCCCCACCCAGATACAGTGTCATCTGCACATGTCGGTGAGTATCTAGCATGCATCAGGTTTCTAATGTGAGGCTCTAAAAGGATAATGATGATTTTGTTCATACCGCCCCAGTCTGAGAATCCATGACTGATTGGTATCCCCTCTGATCCCACGTCCAAAACGATTAACAGTTGTAAGGCTGACAACACTGAAGTGTTGTATAAATCGATTTCAGACAGGCATTTTCATATTGTTTTTGTCTTGTGTAGGTTGAAGTAAATGCCAAGTTGCGACTGAGGATTCATATCGGTGAGTATTTACCAGCTATTGAATTGAATATACTTTATTGATCTCCAGGGAGAAATTGACTTCCAGAATCATGTTTAATATTTTAGATGTGATGAGTACTTTTTTACCGCCCCAGTCTGAAAATTCATGACTGATTGGTATCCCCTCTGATCTGAAGTTAAATTTCTTTTCTGTAAAGTCTAGTTTAAATATTGTCAAAAGCTGTGCTATCGTTTTCTGATGTGGCCTCTCGTTGCAGATTTGACGGACCAGAGGGATTTCTCCTGAAGTGTCTAAGAGTTTGAAGGAAACTGTTTTTAGTAAATGTTCATGTCATGTTCTAATCTTGATGTACTTGTGAATTTAATTTGAACAACTTTACATAAGTATTTAATGTATACAATAAGGCTGTGAAATGTCATGCTTTTTCTCATCCATGGTGTTCAGAACATTACTTTAATAAAGCTCTTGATCTGAATCTGTACCTTCCATTTCTTAATTGCTACCGGACTGAAATCTACCACTCATCTCTGAACCTGAGTGCCTAAACATGCATTTTTATCGTCCATTTGTTTTCATAAGAACCAGTGCTTGGTATGGACATGCCAACTATTGGAAAATAAATTTGCTTGAGTAATTTTCCTAAAACATAACCCTGGAGTTTCATAATCCTGTGGGTTTTGGATTTTTATCCCTAGTTTTAAAAATACAGGGTCCTTAAATTGACATGTCAAAATGGTTGGTTTGATTCTTTATCAACTTAATTATGCAGTTTGAGTGCACAAGTAACTCAATCTGAAGTCAGGTATGCTTTACCTTATTGTGGAAACAAATATATTTATTGAAGCTGGAAACCAATGAGGCACAGATTTGACTGCAAAGTAATGGCATCAAACAAATGGTACTAAATATTCCAGGTGCAGTTGGCACAGTCATTAGTCAGAGGTAAAGATCCTTGCAGCAATATCATCTAGAAGCCAGTCCACTCCAGCTAACAGGTGTTCCCCCGTTACCGCGCTGCAATCAATGATGCACCAGTGATGACTCTTGATTTCATCTAGGGCCAGTGCCTGCAAAACAGAATCTGCATTAGAAACATGAATTACACATTTTACTGACTTCCAAAAAGGGCCCTTGACAGCTTACATCTTTTATTGCTTCTTTAGACAGAGCCCCTGGTAGGTCCTGCTTGTTAGCAAATACCAGCAGTGTTGCACCAGCTAACCTCTGAAAGGGCAAGAAGCAACCAATGTTATGCATTCACTCCAACAGGAGCTATTATTTCCTTGAGTTTGATCAAAAATAAAAACCACTGAGTGTGTGCATGTCTAATTTGAGTTGCTCAAAGGCTTTGTGTACCTCCTCCAGCAGCAGGGCACTGAGCTCCTGCCTGCAGTCCTCCAGTCGGAGTCTGTCTGCGCTGTCCACCACCCACACCAGCCCGTCTGTGCTCTCAAAGTAGTTCCTCCAGTAGGATCGCAGAGACTTTTGACCACCTACATCCCAGATATTGAGTTTAAACCTTTACAACGGAGGAAAAAGAGGAGAGTCGGGGTAAGACTGGGTACTTGGTGATTAGTACTGAATCAATAAGAAACAAAAGAATACACAGAACACCAGTTACACATCCATTTTTACATAGCAAGAAGTGTGCATGTAAGTGGATCAAGTCAGAAGGAAATTAAGATAAAATATTTTACACACATTGTATTGAGCACCATTTTTTAAAATGGTGTCACAAACAGGGCACATTTTGTGAACTGTTAAGCACAAATTTCCCTTTACAGGGAAATGGTAGGAGGCTCTGAGGCGCTCCCTAACTCTGGGGTAATGGCCCCAGTCCCGGGTAAAGCTGTGCTGCTCCTACCCTTTGTGCTCCAGTGTTTTAATGTTGAAGCCCAGTGTGGGAGAGATGGTCGTGATGTCCTCCCCGTTAAACTTCTTCAGGATGGTCGTCTTCCCAGCGTTGTCCAGACCTCTGCACGCGTTATGTCAAAGAAAGCACCTAACAGCCCCCCAGAGAGGTAACCTAGGGTTGGCCAAACGGTCAACAGTAGCAAACCACAATAGCGTATATTTGTTATACTATATTCATAATTATTTTATGTACTTTTCTGCTCACATGATTGCACAATTGACGTTATAAACAGCTACTTTCAACAAAGCTACTTTCCCTTGTTGTGTCTAGCTAGGCTAAACCGTTACCGAAAGGATACAACATGAGGAGCCTCATCTCGCGCTCCTTCTGTTTCATCTTCTTCAAAATAGTCCGCAAACCCATTGCTGTGCTTTCCGAGCCCAATGCTGTCCTCAACGAAATACGGTATTTTAAAAATGTATGTTTTAAAATAAAAGATTTTTCGTTTGGTGGTGCATCATTGCTACCCGGAAACTTGCTGTAGTGTTATCCCCGCCCCCTTAGCCTCGATTGGTTTATGGGGTGTCAACATATGTTTGATTGGTTGGATACTGCGAAATAACGTGATTGGTCAATAATTATTGGATAGATGGTTTTGCTTTATGGAACATGGGGGTCTTGGCGCCACCTCATGTATATTTTAGGAATAACACATTTGAGTCACCATTTGGAAATTTTCTCTTGGACAAATTCAGAACAAACTGAGCTATAACTCCACTTTTTAGGGATGTTTAATTTTTTTTCTTCTGAAGTTTCGTCTAGTTGTAGTGTGCTGGTGGATCATGTTTATCCCCCAAAGATTTTTTCAAAATAAGCCAAGTTAAATTGACACTAAAGTAAAGTTAAATTTGATACTGGATCAAAAAATAAACTGAATAGTAATGCACAGGTGAAAATAGCCAAGCTGAGGGGCCAAATCAATATGTGCTTCATTCCATATTTATGTCAACCTAAGTAGGATTTGTCCCACAGTTAATGTTAACTTCTCATGGAGTACCCTGATGTCACTGCTATTGTAGTTTTGAATGAGGGACTTGAATAATCCCATCATAACAGGGTACTTGATTGAATTCTCTTGCCCCTTTCATATCATTTTTTGTTTTCCAATAAGTCTACAGCCTTGAAAAGTGAAATTCTTATTCTAGAGTTTAAAATGTAAAAAATGTCATATTAAGAGAAAACAATTCGAAGTTCAAAAGTTTGAAAAGCAATTTCCAAAGGCTATAGTATATGTGTATATATTTTCAAAGAATAACAAAGTCCTAATGAAGGTTGTTTTACAGGAACTCTTCTAAACCTGCCTTTAATAGAGGGCATTTGCAAGAATTCAGAATATAAACAAAATCAAACCATTTATAGATGTATTAATGTTTTATTCTTCGTTTCTTGTTTCCTAAAAAATGGTTGGCTCCTGTTTGGGGGGTTGTTCCTTCATTTCCTGGCAAAGGAGCTCCAGAAATTCCATGGACATGCTGGAAAACCGACCGACATATTCCTAATATGGTCAACAGCTCCAAGCGTTTCCTGTCCAAAAGGTCGACGATTTACTGGCCATCAGCCACTACCGGACCTTCGATATTAAGCTGTAGGAGTGTTTCACACGTTCAACCCGGACAATAGGGAAACAAATATTGACTTTATGATGTTCTTCATGAAATGTCAGCAAAGCGAAAGCCCGCAGGCTGCCTGGATGCCGCGCAGCGCCCTGCCATTCTGAAATGGGGCATCTTAAAATAAAGAGAAACCGAAAGAAGATGCAGCGCTGTGTTGCATCATGGTGTAATGTGGGATGTCCTGTAATAAAAAAGCCGTTGGCGCCTGTCTACGCGCCTCACTCGCCACCAGTAGCTCACTAGGCAACCTTTAAACTCTGAACCGTGCCCAAAGCAAGAAGCCACAGACGAGCCCAAACTCTGGACTCTGGTTCCTTTACCGGGCTGTGCAGGTTGGATGTGCGCCAGAGGCTGGCATCTGGACGTGCCGACAAGAAGATCCAAATCCAGTGAAGGTTGATCCAGCATGGCTAGACCTTTAACTAGTGTATTACTGCTGGGAAGTTAGAGATGCTCTTCTCACTCATGGACAGGGGGAACGAGCCAAACAGCCCCAGCTTTCTGCCTGCAGAGGACAGCAACACCTGGACAGGTGAGTCCGGCTCACCTTAAGCAAATGATGTTTTCAGACATTTTACTTAAAAAAAGACCTGTGTTTAAATATATGCCTTTGTTCATTTTTCCTTTTATAAGATACACATTTTTCCAATAAACAAACGTCTTTGTTATTTCCTAATGAACGTGCAGTAAACCTTTAATTTGAGATTGCCTTGTAGGACAGTCTCAGTAAAATGTGTGGCAACCTCTTTATAGCCTTCACTTTTGATGTAAACAGACTTGAAACCGATGCCTGATAACATGATGTGTATTGCTAATTCTCTGAGGGACTTTTTTCCCAGAAATTTGAAAGTAAATGACATGTCATGTCATGGTCACTCTCAAGGGCCATACAGACCCTCTCTTCCTCTCCTCAAAGTTTTCTCAGCAATAGCAAAGTTTAGTTAAAAAAATAGACTGGTCTGAACATCAACAGGAGGAACAGCTCCCGGCATGTCTGAGTCCGTTCTCAACTCCACGATGCTACCAAAACAAAAACAAAAAAGTGGAAACATTTTTTTGTCAGAAGGAAAACAAGAGGCAACATCAGCTCAAAGGGGGGACTTAGTCTGAGGATCCAAACTGACCCTGATTAGGAGCTGAAAAGACTCTGGCTGTGATAGCAAAAGCTTTAGTTTCTGTATCAGGGAATAAATTGTGAATCACTATCAGTTTTTTCTGATTTGTCACAGCTACACAGGTTACGGCTCACATCCACCGGCCCCCGGTGTCCCCGTCATGAGGGCTTTCCCAGAGTTACACTTTGAACTGTTGACACAACATAATATGGACACCATTCTGTTTTTAAAAAGAGGGCACGAACAATTGCAAACATCTGTCATTGCAAAACAAGTGATGATTGCTCTGATTTATTTTCGGTTGATTTGTGGTTTCGTTTGTTACTCGTGATTGAATTGTGAAGTCGTGACCTCGCCTAAAATCATGCGCTTAATCACAACTCGTTCCTCCTGATCTGAGCCAGGTTTACGAGTGTCTTTACTGATCTGTGTTAGTCTGTGATACCATGTGGCACATCCTGTGATAGACTCATCTCGTGACTTCTCAGATCTTTCAAATCATAATGCAATGTTAAAGAATATTGTAGAGCTGTGCTTTAAAAAAGATGCATCACAAAGGTGTACAGATATGTAGCATTCATTTCTGCAGGAAATGGAGAGAGAACAACACCAAACTGGCACAAGATGGACAAAAAGGCAAGAGAAGAACAGACATGCGGCGAGGAAAAGCCGACAAAAACAAACAGAGAGGGCTGATGAACTTCATGAGGTTTGAAACTTGCACTCCTTCTAAGACACATTCTGTTCCCTCCTGGTTCCTTTAGTCTTCCTCTCAGCCACACCTACTGGCTCAAAGGCTGTGTGACAACTAGTGCGTATATTGTGTAACCTGGAAGAGCGCTTGTAGCCATTTCTTGTAAAGACTCTGCTTTAGGAGAAAGACTTTCACTCCCACTGGTGTACCCTCCCCTTTGGCCCTCCCCCTGTTCTTTGCCCTCATACACACACACACACACACACACACACACACACACACACACACACACACACACACACACACACACACACACACACACACATTCTTGCATTCCTGACCGTGTTTCCTCTCTGGACCAGTCAGACATTTTTTTTTCATACCTACGAGGTAAATTAGCCAGTGAAACAACCAGAATTTTGCCTTTCCAACACACTCTGATAAACGTTCTTCTCTGGGTGACTTGCTCTATGTAACTGCAATCGCTAGTAACGGATGTCATTTCCTTGAACGGGACTCACAGTTTGTTGGCAAAAACGAAGACATTCCAAACATGACTGTATAAACACTTTTGGTTTTTTTGGACCACAATCATCAGTCTTCTGGCCCTGCGGGACCACTGAGTCAAATCCCACATTGTATTTGATTCGTGTGAACCACCGAAAAAACCCCGGATGCAACATATTCAGAACAAATAAAAAATGACCCATTTACAACTTTCTGGTTCAGAATGAACAGGTGTGTATGTGGCACAGTGTATGTGTATAAATTACACAAGAATATCGGAAGAAGCATTGAAAAGGGTTTTCTTTTTCTGTTTATCTGCTGTACCCAAATTCATGCTTAAAAGCTAGAATCCCATTACTGCAGCAGTCTGCTTCCATTGTCCGGCAGCTCCTTCTCCCGTTTCTGAGAAATTGCTGGTTTCTGGCCTCCAACAGGTGCCCTTCCGCTGAAAAATTAGGATCTGCCAACATCCCACATGCATTTATATTTCAGGGGCAGTAAAAACAAAAAAAATATCTTTTTATGGAGCAAAAAACTTCTTTTTGCTTACCTTTTTTCTCTAGTTTCTGTGCTGCTAGCAGCAGGAGTTTTTTCTCATGATCTAAATAGAGACGTTTAGCTCACAGGGTGAGTTACTGGGAAACACTAACAGTCAAAAACTCATTAAAAGTTGGTTTTAAAGATGAATGGATAAAGATTCGATCCTGATGCTCGTGAAACTGTTGCGTGTCATTTATTACTCTTGTACATAGATGTGCACCTTGGTGAGGCACGTCTCATTCTGAGAGTGAAACCTGTTTACTACGCAAAGAATCAGCCCCCTGATTCCAAATAATTCTGACAGGATTTTATTTTAAAAACTGTCACATCTAGTTGTAAAAATGTCTACTCACTTAATTTGTGAATCGACATGTGTCTCTTTTGTGAGTGCCGTCCTCGCTTTCACTTTCTCTCTTAATCCCTTGTAGTTCTGCTCTCAGCATATCGCTCAGGAGAAGACTGAAGAAGCATGCCTTCACAAACTGGTTGCTCTCATAAAAAGCTTGAAGCTGTGTCTGCAGTTCATGGTTTAATGGTTCAGCACGCGGGCCACTCTGTTTTCAGCCACACTGCTGCTTCCACGCACACTTTGTCGGTACACTATAGTAGGATTCTTATTTCAGGGAAGAGCTTCCACTGGAACCTTAAGTATTCTACAATGGCTTCCAATCACAGACACACTGAATTAGCAAAAGTTGATTTTGAAAGGTTTTGGCGACTAGATATATAACACTTTCTGCATCTGTCTGCAGGGAATCACAGTTTTCTTTGCCTCGCCCACCACTTACCCACTCATTTCATGCTGAGCTTGCAGTACTGTTGATTAAGAACAATACCCCAGTTCTCCTTTGGGGAGAACTGTGTTGCAGCACTTAAATAAAATCTTAAATAAACCTGTTAGTCGACCTCAGGTTTTGCATCTTTTAATGCCGGGGGGGATTAGTGTTTGCATTTCTTTTTCTTTTGATATATATCTTTAATCAGTTTAATGGCAGGTGAGATAATCTCCAAGGTATAATAAAGATAAACCAGAGTCAACATTTAACTCTTTCTCCTCCTTTTCGTTTCTACCGCTCAAAAGTTACACCAAGATTTCCATGTTTTACCTATAACTTGTTTTAATTTCTTAAACCTCAATGTCAGACCCAAAATGCAGTCAAACAAGAAGATGGAACAGTGGGGGTTTAAGGGTAGTGATTAGGTTAAAACGAGAGTTACTTCCACAGGTCATCCTAATCCTGGCTGGTAGCATAACTGCATTAAAATGGATGAGAAAAAGGTAATGAGAACAATCATGAAAAGGTCTCCAATTACAGTAAATAAGTCTGAGGAAAAGTAGGAGTCATTTTTTCTTGAAGTTAGCATGTTCAATACTGCCCTGTCTTTTATTGATTTGGGCTGTAATTTCATACTCTTCTAGTTTCTCAATTTTAACTCTCCTCCTTGTCCTTGTCCCCTCAGGAGCTTCAAAGTCTAGAGCAAGCAAATTCTGCTTTTCAAAAGGAGATCACTGGCTTGAAAAAGCAGCTTCTGCTCTATGAGAGGGCTCTGGAGCGTCATAAACCCTACTGCTGCCTCAAACCCTCTGCTGCAGCCATATCTCCCACCGGCCTCTCGATGTCCTCCTCAGGCCGCTGTAAAAGCGGCTCCAGCCCTCCCCGAGCCCCCAGCTGCCCCGGACCCCCCCCCCCACCCCCTCCCCCACCCCCACCCCCCTCAACCTCCTGCACCTCCAGCGCAGATCTCCAAATTCTCCATCCCACTGAGAGGACCCGTCTCTCACCTTCAGCCTGTGTTCCAGTGGCAGCTTCAGGTGCTGCTTCATCAGCTAAACTCCTCATTGCCTCCTCCTCCTCCTTCTCCTCCTCCTCCTCTTCCTTTCACAAACTACCTCTCATCGCATCGAGGCAAACAGGTGTCGGGCCAGACTGTGCTCCTCATGCTCCCTCCACAGCTGCCCAGCTCAAGTCTGATAGAATTCACAAAGCCCCTTTGGTATCAGAAACTTCTCTCTGTGCAGAGAAGGCATTTTCAATTCGACCGGATTCGATGCTGAATGCTTCATCAAACGCACAGACTACTTTATCCCATTTAGAGGCAGAAAAGATAAATGTTGTAGGGCAGAACTGTCTTCCGAACGCACCGCAGCTTTATCCAAGCCGGTTAAGTAAAAAACAAGACCATTCCACTCCACCATGTGCTCCTCTAACACCACCTCTTCTAGACCCTACCTCCAGGATGCACACCATTCCGACCCAGGCACACCTGGATCCATTTCCTGGTATTCCTGGTGCCTTTAAGCAGAGTTTTGATCCACCGGCTTCATCCAGTTCTGGATCGCTGCTGTCCCTGCTCACTGTCCCCAGTCCTTATACTGTTGCTCAAACTACCTCCAGCAGCTTGGATGAATTCTTCTTCCATTCTCCACCGTCACAAACACCACCGTTACCACAACTAGATTTTTCAAAAGATATTTCTTTGTCTGAATTCTTGGATATTAATGACTGGATCTTTAGTTGAATGAATTACCAATAGATCCACAATAGTAATTTAGTTTATACTCTGTGAGCAGACTCATAAAAGACAGCGATCTCAAATTGTTTTTAAATTAATCTTTGTTTTGTCTCGATGTCTTCAGTTTAAAAAAATGCTTTTATTGTTTCATCTTCCTTTATGGTTATTAATATAACATTTATGGTTTAAAATGGATGCCATCATTTTAACAACCGTCAAACCACGACAGTAACTGTGCAGCATAAACTGTTCAACTGTTCAGCCCTGTTCCTGAAAACTTGACATCATGATGTTGCGACAATTACGTGTAACTTTGCTTACTGCTAATTATTACGAAAATGCTTATTTTTTTGCTCCTTGAGACAGGATGTACGGACGGAGGAGTTAAACGGGAAGCAGCAGAGGCCACACTATCCTGTTATAGTGTTAAAAAGAGAACAAGAAGAAGAGATGCTGAATCCTACATTTCTCCAGATTTAGAGATCATCTGATCTCATGGTTTGAAAACGCTTTTGGAAAAACCAAAAGCCAATCTGAACTCTTTGACAGTGGCAGACCACACAGGGAACACCTCAACACCTTGCTTAGCTTTCAGAGATAATGCTAAAATCTCTTTGTTTGATATAAACCAAAAACTCAATCAGTCTTCTTTAAGTATGCATCTTACAAGTTCCTCAAAGGCAGTGAGCAAATTCTGCAATGAAACACCCTTTTTCAGTCCACCCCCACCCACCTAGACAGTCAGCTAGTTTTACTAGGCAGGAAAATTGACACAGAAGGGGTAGAGTACTCATTTCCCTTGCAACTTCATGAAAATGTAATTTGGAGACATTTCTATTGCTGCATACTCTTATGCCAATTAAACAATGTGACTAAAGTTATTATGGATGGCTGAAAAAGTCCTTAGTCTTTGAAATCTCATCTGAGAATAACAAGCTAAATCTGAGGACTTTGCAGTATGTATAGAACTCATTTTACACTGGAGAAAATCGTTTATTTTTTATAGACTAAAACCATTTATTTTGTGCTTACTAAGGTGAGGTTCCGATGAGTTTTATTTACTTTTATTCGCTTGCGACAATTCTCAATCCTGCGGGGGCCTTAAAAAGTCTACATTTATATTTGTTTGTCTGCTTTCTTTATATAATTCAACCATAAAGCGACCAAGGTCAGGTGAATTTAAATGAGAGGAATGACTGGGTTTGGAATGATCTTGTGATATCATTTTAATGTGATATTTTTTACCAGTGTCAGTCACTTGTGTGAGGAATACAGGCTGTGGTGATGAACTTATCAAGGACAATTCCATTAAGGTTGGAATACCAAAGATTGCTTTGCACTTAACTTTTCTCCCCATGGTATCTAAACCTATGGTTTAAAAAAATGAGTTTGACATAGTTAAGATGGTGGTCAAATTCCTAATTTCAAGTGAGTCGAGTGGAAAACAGAAAGGTTGTGGGAAGACGAAGAAGTCTCAAATAGGAAAGGAGTTTCTTTTTTAGTTTCAGGAGATGAAAATGTATTTTCTTCATGATTGTTTTCATAATGATGATTTTGGATGTCCAGATGATTATTTATTGTAATAACTTTTACATGCATTTAAGAAAGATACATGGGAGTTACAAGAGGACACGCTCTGCACAAGAGCATCTGTTTCAGACTAAATTTGTGACTAGGTATGTGTGCTATTAATGACAATTTGTGCTTCTGTTCAGTATATTTATGCTGCAATCCATGGTGCAATAGAAGTCACAAATAAAAAAAACTTTCACTTAAACATTTCTGTTCTTGTTGAGTTTAGATATTCCCTCTCATATGGTAGACTGTAATGCAGGACACCAGCCCTCAAGATTTTATCTATGAAGAAAAATTAGACATGATCTTGTCCTCACCAGGTCTTACAATTAGAGAGATGCAGCCTTGGATGAACATCACAAGATTTATTACACTGTGCCATTACTGAGAGAAAATGCAGAAGTAGATACACTGTCGACCTAACGGTTTTTTGTAGGACTTTGTTACAATCAAGCGGAGGTCTAGTTTTAGCCAAGATTACAGCTTTCCAAGCAACAAGCTACGCTGCTATTTCCATTTTTTCTCTAATAGAAAAGGCTGTGTACTGGCAATTTTTTCGTTAAAACAAGACAACATTTGTGATTCTGTCATGAACTTAAAGATTAGACTAAACTAAAGCCTGTGGAGTCTGCATGTAGCCGTAGCCCTGTGTACAGTTTCTCTTAGCTTTGCATGATGCCATGTTGGGCTGAACTTTCTGGGACCTGCACGCCTGAAAAGTTTTGCAACTGTCTTTAGCTTCATAAACAATTATCTTCTTCCATGTTGCAATTTGAATATTTGAAGTTTGAAATGATGGATTTAAGTCAATAGAACTTACAATATATTTATAATTAACACCATTAGGAAAGGTTTTATAATTAAGAAATAAAAACACACCAGATCAGAGCAATAAATTATTTTCAATTGCATAAAATAGCTGTTAATACAGACAGGATATTCTATAAAGGAATTATAGAAACCAGTTGACTATTTTTTGTCATCACTTATAGACCTCAGCCACAACTTAATTGTTTTAAAATACTTTAGATTGTATTTAACAAACAATTGTCCCTATAAAGGTAGGCCATAAAGTATGATGGCATATTTAGTTAGAATTGTAACTTTAACAACAAATATAATTTGCTGCCACTACTGCAGCCTATTGCACATTTATTACTGCAGCACATCTAGTGCCCTGTGTGAGGCTCCACATTTTTATTTCGCCATCATCAAGTAAAAAAAAGGTTTAAATCCATTTGAATAAATCGTTCGAATGCATCATAGTTTATGCCAGGCTCTGAGTCTGGAGTTTTAGGTCATAAGAACTACCCGACGATGAGGGAGGAGGAGGACGCGCGTGGATAGCTGCGCTTCTGATTGCGCGTGCGTCAGAGTGTGAAGAACAATGGGTGAGGCTGGAGCCTCAAAGCCAACTTACAAGCACACAGACTCACCTCACACGGGAGGCGAGGATAACGGGGGGAGGGAAGGGGGGGGGGGGGCAGAGGAGGAGGGGGGGAGTCAGACACAAACACGGACGAACGTCAAAGCCGCGCTCTGCTGGAGGTGCGGAGCTTTTATTTTCGAACGAGATGGAGCACCAGCCAGGGGGGACGCGGGGCGCGAGGGGACAGTGGCACAACTGCTGAAGATGAAGCCCATCTGAAAAAAGACAGGCAGCGAGGCCACGTAAATAAAGGCATATATAAATAAATAAATCCATGCTATAGCGTCATCTGCAGTGAGGAGCCTCATTCCTCCCTCTTCTTGCACCACCTTCAGGCTGAGGATCCGGCGTCAGGACGGAGGGATTGGAACGAGGGTGCATCCGGTTATTGCCTTCAAAACAGAGAGCCTGGCCCCGATCTCCCTCTGTCCACCATGTGAAACACTAATGTACGCTTTTGATGGACGGTGGATAAAACCATATCAGTGCCTGCCTTTGATAAGTGAATGTTAAATTTTCGCTACATTTTCACAAACCATGACTTTCTTGAATTACTCTGTGGTGCTGTAATAAGGGCAACGTACACAAATATGTCCCCGCATATTTAAAGAGAGAAAAATGGTTACAAATCAACACTATTTCATATGTTTTATTAAAAAAACCCAAACACCTTTAATTTCCCTCACCGATGTCCCCTGGCTCAGGAGACTAGGAACGTTGTTTTTCCCAACTTTTGTGTTCAGCTTTATGCCAAAAATATTCACGTGTTGTGTTACTGTGTGCATGACCTCAATCAACCAAAGATTGTCTTTCATTTAGAAATGAGGTGCTGGACAATGAAAACGGAGCTTCATTGTATTTAGCACACAATGAAGGAGTTTACAAAGAAAGGCTCACTGAAGAAATCTAACAGCTAATTTGAACTCCACAATCTGCTTTTTACAGAACATGTTAGTCGTCTTTGATTTGGAAATGTTGAAGTCTGCATTAGAAAGTTGGGCTGTTTGGTTTTTCTTTGAGGTCACATCCACAGGTGAAACTTATTCGAGAGTCCAAGAGGGAGAAATGCCCAGTAAAGACTGGACAGTTTTATATGAAACCGCTTCTACCTAAACAAAAACATCAGCCATATGACAGAAAAATGCATTTGGGTCTTAT